AACTTTCGTACCGAATAAGATATGAACCAAGGCCGTGAACAGAAGTCCTTTGTTTTGAAGCGTCTATGAGATCGAGTCGACCGTCCTCTCTTCTCGCAGTGCGCAGCTGCAAACTAACATTTTGTATCATGCTGCTCTTTGCGCGTCAGGGTCGAACACAGGACACTTGAGGCACGGCTTTATCACAAAACAATGTTATAATATATTTTACCAGTACATGCATCTCACAGTACCCATGAACGTGAACTGAAAGCCCAACGAGACCCACAGAGGATAACAGCTCCCGAACCGGCCAACTGCTGCGTCTCTCGCTCACCCTTTTCTCATTGCCGTTGAAGAAAAGCAGCTCTGACAGGTGGGAGAGTGGCACAGGTGTACATGCATGCGTGTCTGTCGCCTTGTCTACTCACACGGGTAAACATTGCGTGCGTGTGTGTGTGTGAGTGACAGTAGGAACCTTGACGCCGGTAGATGTTCATCCCTTATTCATCAACAGACACCGAGTGCGTCGAGTTGACGGAAGCCGGGTTAATTTGGAGCAGATTTTTTTTTGGGGGGGGAGACAGAGCGAGTCGGCACTGAAAAGCCGAGGCCGCGAAAATCTCATCACAATCACCCGCGATGAATAATTCATTGTTGCAAAACATATCAGGCTCTCTTCACTTTGTCTTTTGTATCTCGGCCTGTAGCTCCTCCTGCATGTCCCCGTGTCCGCCATTCTGACTACTTAGACACGTCACTGTCTGCTAAAATAGTTCTCTGTGTTTACCTGCAGGCAGACGCGTGAGTTAGATACACAAGAAGGTAATTAATTGTCTTATGGGAGAAGACTGGCTGGTAAACAATCTGTTTTGTTCCGAGCGCAGGCTGCTAATTTTCTGTCACGAGCCGGGTTGAGCTCAGGGAGATTTTCCGACAACGATAATGTTCAATTGACCATTTTGTGGTGGGAATCAGAGTGCTGGCACCAGCTGGCACCTTAATCTGCCTTTATGAAATACGAGAGCATCATTTCTCCCGACCCCGCCTCTTTTTTTTTTTTTCTTCTTCTACCCGGGAAATAAAACATTAACACGCTCCATGAATAAAGAATACTTCACTTGGAGACGGGAAAAAGACTCGCCATTTTGAGCAGTTCGTGGAGAGTAATGATTCATTCTGCCTCCATGCAATCTCCATTTTAAGAACCATCCGTAAGACCCACTTTGACTGTTTTGTTATTCTTTCATTTTCAATTAAGCAGGTGAATTAAAACCATATTCCCTTTTGGCAGCTTGGAAAAGGCCTCGAGAGGAGATGGGCATGAATGTGCAATCTAGATAATTGTAGGCGAGCGATCCTTCGTCACTCCCTCGGAGAAATATAAAGATCGGCCACCAGCGAAATGAGGATGGAGGAGGGAAAAAAATAAGTTCAGCACGAGGATAATAAAACAGCACAAGGGGGGGGGGGGGGGGATCAGCAATGGAGAGCGATAATGAAAGATTATAGGGAATTCTGAGGGAAAAGCACAATGTTCTGTGTGTGTGTGTGATTGAGAGAGACGGAGGAAACCAGTGAAGATCAGTGAAGAACAGCTGAAGTTGAAAGTACATAGTCTCATATTAACTGGTGGATTCAGATCAAACTAAATAAAGAAGAGAACTACAAGCTACGTGTGTGTGTGTGTGTGTGTGTGTGTGTGTGTGTTTTATATTTGCATTATGAGATTCACTAATGAACCAGAACCGCCACTTGAAACTGACGTGTGTCTGCAGGATGTCCATCCTTCTCTGTCAGGAGCGATTAGTCCTTTAACCACTTTAGTGGGAAGTGTGTTTCCTAAACGACGCAGTGAGGAATATCGACTTTAGTGTGTCTGCTGGCTGTCGACATGCAAGTCTCTCCATTATGAGGATTACAGGAAGTAACAAAATACACCTGAGGATTCAGATAATTGTTGTTGACGTGAGAGAAGCTGTTGTGAGGCGGACACACACACACACACACACACACACACACACACACGGAGACGCAGACATGTGCCTTTCCCTCTCACACACTAACATTTATCTTTCCACTTGTTTGGAGAGACTTGTGAAGCCTCTAAAGACTTCTTCTGTTTTCAAAAATTCAAACTCCTCAGAGATCTAAAGGTTAAAAACACTAATTAACCAATATGAATAAGCTAAATCAGATATATGACACTGCTGACGTTGATCAAAATAGGACCAGAGCGTCTCAAAATATAAATATGCACACCAAAATATGTTTCCCCATAAGTGACAGATTATTTAGACTAGAAATGGACTGCAGTAATATGCATAATGGTTGCGTGATGAATTTCGAGATGGCTATAAACAAATCCACATATACAAACATTTCATCTTTTACACTTCGAGTATTCAATCATTCATTCAAAGCACACCTCCGGTTATTGCGACGGTTTTATGTTTTCTCTTATATTAGATTTGAGGATGAGTGTTATAATACTTCTCACATACTGTGTAGGCTTTATTGTAAAACCAATTCCCACAGTAATTGAACTTCCACCTTGCGTCATACTTTATGCTCTGAGGCTCCTGCATGGCCCATGATGACGCTGCTGTATTGAGTTTCCATACAGGCTCCGGCTAGATGAGGTAAGCTGTTGTTGTTAAGGTCCTTGCTGTTATGTGCCCACTCCCTTGAGATTGTCAATTCGCCATACAGTATAAGAGCTCATTATTAAAAATAATTGGCAATATTAAACATGGAGATGTCTGTTGTTATTAAGGATCCCATCATAGTTACAGAAGGAGACACGACTCAATCCCAGCTGTACACGACTACAGAAAACCCATGTTTGTATTTAGCTGTTTTTAAACTAATTTAATTATTTGTTTTTGGATTAATTCATTTTGATTTTTGTTTGTCAAAAATACTGTGATATTTCCTAGAACCTGGGCAGGATATTTTTGCCAGTGTTTTTCTCAAACAGTTAATGAAGGTATCCCATAAGTATCAATATCATTCACTAAACATAAATATGTATATTTTCCAGCCGAGCACTTCCATGTTAGTTTGTATGCTGAGGACACCGTCATGTATACTTTCTTCTCTATACCTGAAACAAATTGCAATCTGCTTTTGATGACCCTTATATTAATGTTCAGCTTGTTTTAAATAATATAAAATATGTTTGCACAACACATAAACACATGCATTAGAAACAAGGGGCCTTGTTTGCCATTACCTTCTTTAATTTGATCTTGATAAAATTTTAAGTGTCCTTAGACTGTGACTGGGAATTGGAAAAGAGAGAAAATGACAGTAAAGTGGACAAGTGGTTGTAAATACACCATGTGTGTATACTTCTATAGAAATATAGAGTCAACAACTGAGTATTCAAATGGTAGTTAGACACACTCGAAGGGACTTACTAATATTTTTAATATCAGTGATAAAGGTTCATAATCGGACCGATTTGTCTCGAATAAAGTGCGGCGGAACTAATGTACATTATGTTGAGCCAAACCACCAGTACTACTTCTACTAGCAGAAGCATATTCTGTCATCGCTGTGATCAAACCTGCAATAGCATAATTACCATCTCATCATGTTGCCATGCCATCATCATTACTCCCCTTATTATCATCAAAATAATCAGAGACCAACGTAGGAAGAACTTGTACATCCTGCATTTAAACACATGCACACAGGTGCATAACACATGCACACCAAACACATTCTGAAGGCTTCGGGTGCATTCGCTCGCCGCACCAAACGTCAACGTGTCCACATCTGGGGGAGTAAATTATTATATATTCAATTTCCACGGAGATGAGCTGAGAGTTACTTTCAGCTCCTCTTCCCATTTGAAGCTAATGAATGCAGATTCAAGAGATGTTGATTCCGTCAAAACAGACGCCCACAACACCTGCGCATCAAGTCTGTCCTCTACGGCACTAAAATAGAAAAACATCCTTTAAATATTCAGAAACCCTCACTGGACTCAAGGAAAACAGAAATAAATAATTTGTCAGATTTCTCTCTCCTTTCTTTTTCAGAATTAAAAAGCCAGATAATATGTCTGTAATATGTTTAATGTGTCCAACTTGTTACTCGGTCATCATGGTAGTGGAGTAAGTCAATGCAGCAAAGGACACACTGACTTCACATGTTTGCCACATGTTGGAGAAAAGCATCATTCATGGGCTACTTGCCATGTCATCATGTTGTTGGTTGCGTGCAGTCGTTTTTTATGTGTCTCTGTGTCTTATGTCCTTCCTGCTCATTTAAGTTTTTTTATCATTTCCAAGATTCTATTTTTTACGGTGACGACCTTCGTTGGACGACCTCCGTCTGAGTTGTTGGAAAAATCAGCTGAAAATATATTTGGCATCGTAAATGAGAAAATATTTCGTATTAGACAGGGCATTTGCATTGTCCCCATACGAGCGATATATTTGTTAGCTGATACCAGTATTGGAAAGAGGGACAGTATTTTGGCATTTGTCATTGGCTGTAATGACACTTTGAGTCACTTTAAGTAATAATATTGGGCTACAGCCACGTCTTTCTTGGCCGTGTAAGCAGGCTCTGCCACAGCAGCACGTCTTCCTGCCCCAAAAAAGCACTTAGCTTGCTTTTTTACAAATTAATTCAATCCTCTACGCAGCAGTGGGGAGAGAACTGGTGCATTTTAGGATGGTCGTGGTCTGCAGCTCAGGGTAAACTGTTGTGTCAGGCGTTGGCTCCGTGTCGACGCAGCTTGACCTTTCTGCGCGGTGGTGGAGCAGTCATATTAGAATATCATTTGGAAGTGGACAGCCAAGGAGAAAAGAACACCGGGGTAAATAATAATCACAGCTGGGCGGTGAAGAACCAAAGAGAGAGAACGGACGGAGGGGGGGGGGGCACGTACTGTAGCATGAGAAGGAGAAATAAAGGATCGACCGATCCCATGTTGCATTATCAAAGGCTGCTAATCAAACTACAATATGTTCCACTACAAAAAGCTTTCACGGGAAGGAATTTACCTGTGGATGATGCGCTTGGTACAGAGGTATCCCAGCGCCAAGGCCAGCTCACAGATGTAGAGCTTGACGGTGCTCTCTGAGAAGTGGACGTTCTGCTGGAGGTGATAACGCAGGTCTCCTCCCAGGAGCAGGTCCACCACCATGAACATGTCCTCCTCATCCTGGAAGGAATACCTGCAGAGGAAGACAGGCTGTCAGCAGTGAAGAGTGACAGGGTGACAAGGCCAGGTGGGGATGAATTGAATTGCGTAGACGTTAGAGTGAAGAGAGGGACAGGCAATCATGCAGCGGGCGGCGGGGTGGAATCCAAAATGTGGATGAGTTAAAAATACGAGTGGTGACAGGAAGCAGAGCAGCTGAGAGGGAAGGTTAAAGGGAAGGGAAATGCAAATAATTGGAAGTTACAGAAGGTCACAGCCAAAGAGAAATAAGAGTTCAATGAGGCAGAAGACATAAGACATCAGAAGACCTTATCTCACTGTATGAGAAGGGTTCCCAAAAGAGGATCATAACACAAAACCAGCTTTATTTTTAAATGGGGGAATCCAGGCTGGAGAGGAAGTCCAGCTGAACAGAAGTTTTTTTTTTTTTGCAATGCTGCAACGTTGTAGATTGAACACTTATAGCCGTCAGCAAGAAAATAAAATGTCAAGTGCAAATTGAACTGATGGAAGCCGCGTGCTCCTCAGGCAAATGCATGAGATGCAACCTTGCATGAGACCGCGTGTACACACTGGGTACAAACGGTTCAACAAATTCACCCATTGGTGTTTCAACCCCCATGAATGATCTCTGACAAAACAGCCTCAGGAGCCTCTGAGGGCAGATACCGCTCCGCTCTGACTCACAGAGGATGAGCATGCGTCACATGTTACTCAAGGCAGCGGGAGCACCCATATGTTGGCTAGGTCATGTGCATTATCCTGTCGCCGTGGCTGGAGGGCTGAGAAGCTATTTTAACATCTCCTACACAAGTGGCTCTGATCGTTGCGAGGCCTCTTGTTAAAAAATATTTCAACAAGAACCTGTTTAGTTAAAAATAATGTCATCTTTAAAATCACCGACAATGTTGCATCGTGCTTGTGTTGCTTTCTGCTTTCTACAGCAGAATCACATGTGAGTAGTTAACAGGGAGGAAACATAATCTCTCTTGTGATTACATTAGTGATCAGCAAACAGATTATTATGCGGGTATGAAAATCTAGGAGCTCATTTATTCTCTATCAACTCTGCAACACTGACGGCTCTCTGCCCGGCTTCTATCTCCGTTAAGGGCTAACGTGTTTTTTAGTGTCTTGACATTTCATTAAAACGGACCATCTCAAATAAAACATGTTCTTTACGTCTGTGAGTGATTTAAGGACAGACAGGGGAAACTGAACCGTCGGCTTTGACAGCTCAGCTGTAATGTGGTAATTGTACTCATGGTCACCCATCTGTTGGCCATCCATCAAGCACTGTCGCGCAGAGCAAGCCTTTATCGGCGTGCGGACCACCGAGTTTCCATTTGAGAAGCACAAAACATCATTGATTTTTACATGCTGAGTGTCCCATTTGGGGTCACAGTGGTTGTTGTTTTTTTTTCTTCTACTCCTCGCTAAGCCTCGCGCTAATTGGTTTCTCCCACAATAAACCTTTTTTTTTTTAAATGGCTGCAGCAAACATGCTCCTGACCTGCAATGAATGGAATACATAGAGTTTGCATGTTTACCCCCCCACTCCGGAGTCCAGATACACTTCTCTGTGAGGAGCACCGTCTTTGCCTTAACTCAGCGCTCAGTGACTGGATCAACTTTTTTTTTTTTTTTTGCCACGTCGGTGGACCCCCCCCCCTCGGGGGACCCGTCTGCAATGAACTGGAGCTGGTGCTTTTCTGCACGCGGTGAACGTGGGGGCTGATTGAGCTGACTCAAAGCGGTCTGCTGAGGCTCAGATAATGCTGAGAGCGCTCAACATCCCCATCTGATTGCCAGCGGCCTCCGGGTGTGCAAAGGCTATCTGTAGATACTCCTGAAGATACGAGAATGCGTGACGAGACCACGCACGCATATGCGCTGAAGCCCTCGGTGTCAGTCAAAACATGCATTAAATACAATGATGTTTCATTACCAGATGCACAACCAACAAGCTGTTCTCCACTGATGACATTTTTTTTTTTCAGGGGGGGACGAAGAGAAATGAGAGGAGGCCGGCCCTCCCCAAGTGTCTGATACAGTACAGCTGAATGGATGGGACCCGCTGCAATGCCATCGATCACTCAGGCAAGCAGAAAAGACTCGGCCACGCCTTCGGACACTAAACTAAAGTTTTTGGCTAAGTTTATATGAGCATGTGGGTGTGAGAGAGCATAATGTGATGGTGGCTATTGCTTCTCCGAGAATATCTAATGCACAAGGCTCATCGATCATTAAATCAGAATGTCATACATGTCTCGTAGCTTATTCTACTAAAACATACAAATATGCAGTATTTTAAAGGGGAGATACTAAGTTCCCTTACAGGATCGTATCTCTATATTGGGTCCCTATAACATGATATCTTCAAATAACAACAGCATTAGGGCAGTACTGTGAGACACAACATGCAAACATATGTACCACAGGTATTATTAAACGCAAAGATGAATGTTCATGAAAAATTGGCTTATTTAAAGCTTAAAAGAAGTCAGGAATAAAACGAAACCGAGATGAGTTACTTAGTGGAAAAAATGGACAGCAGAATGTGTGGTCCCCATTGTACTATTAATCATCTAAACTCTTCCCCTCTCTTTTCAGGGTTGCTTCTCTTTGTCACACACACACACACACACACACACACACACACACACACACAGCCATACAAGTATATATTGCAAATACCTCTCACCCAGAAGAAGTAGTTAAGGTGGTAAAGACCTTAATAAGCTGCTGCCACAAGCATTTACAGGACTTTATTGCTGATGGAAAAACAGCTGCTGCTTCTTCAATGAAAAGGGCTGTTTATTTATATAAATGCTAGTAGATAATAGCATGAGACAATTCCTGCAAGGTCAGGGACCGTAATTAGACTTACATTTTTTCTTTATTATCTTGTTTTTCTTCTGCTAACAAGTATTATTTACTTCCTTTTTAATTATGTTATTATTTATGTACTATATCAGCTTTTTTATCAACTGGTTACTACAATATTCACTGACAATAAAGGTCTAAATAGATGTTTTTCTGGAAATGTATATAAAGTATTATAACATCATCATATTGGTCAGCTCATGGAGCATCAAGGAGACTCCCAGTCCATCAGGTCGATCGATAGCACACTCGAGTTAATCGAGTGGAAAAACCAGCTCTCACGCTCGGCTGAGTTTCTGTGTTTTTCTGCCCCACAAGACTTTCCAGCAGAAAGCCGAGGCTGTTAAAACCCCTAAAAAGGGCTTAACTGTCATTGTCGAAGGCCAGTAGAACAAAAAAGTGACTGACTCGCCGCAGTCTCCCACGCGGTTGCTTGGATACGAAGCCGGCGTGCAGAAGGGTCAGCGGCCTGGTGTGGCGATGCACACAGTGAGGCGCATACTGAACTCTGTGATTACTGTCATTTGTGTACACACACACACACACACACACACACACAGATGCATGCAAGCTGTGCTCATCAGTGTCAGTAAATGTACAGCCATAATTATTCAAACCGAACCAATAATCTTTTTCACAAACCTGAAATGATTTCCTGTGAAGAATATATTTGTCAGATATCACATGAACCCTTGTATGAGGATACATTTACTAAATTTACCTGCTAAATCGCTACCAAACATCTGTTGTTGTCGAGTTAGCTGCTTTTTAATAAACTTTAATAAACTTTAATAAAGTCTTAAAAATACATTACAAAAGATATATGCCTACATGTAAAAAGTAAAAACACACACACACACAGTATATGGATGAAACGTTTTACCCTGTAGAGTCAACAGGTCTAATAAGTGCTGCTTCTTCAGCACTGGTCTATCTGCATAAGTGAACATTGTTGCACTTATTAATCCTGTCTTGTGATTTGCACACACCGCTAGAAATTAAAGCTGCAAATCAACATCCCCCCCCTGGGACTGACTGGCCTGGTGCTAATTCAGCTTGCTGTTTTATGCTATTTCAGCCATGTCTCCACTCTGCATGGAGTGGTCTCCTATGACAATAAAGGCATAACCAAATGTCTCCTAGAAACAAGAGCTCTTCACACTCTCTCTCTCTCTCTCTCCTTATCTCCCTGCGTGGCGACACATGGCGAGACGTGTTTGAACATGAACGTTGTCCACTGTCCTGCTGTCAAAATGAATCGGACGCAGTTCCGATTAAGTTGTTTTTCATGTGTAAAAGCAGCGTCACGGAAGTTACTTAATATAACACCTTCAACATGCTCTGTGCTCTAATGGGATTTAAAAAGGAGCCTGTTTTATGTTGAAGTCTTTCATTTACCAACACTGGATACAGCGCCTGAAGGCATCTTGTGTAGACACAGACAGAGCGCAGGAGCTACTGCTGCTGTTTTATTTTTCCAAAAATAAAAGAATATGACGTATAACAAAACATTATATTTTCTGCCTTACCAGGCATCATATCACTGACTTTGATTTTGTCTAAAGGATTAAAACACAATAAAGCCTAAGAATGTATCCCAATTTTTATGACGTATAACTAATGCCTAAAAGAAAATAACAAGCAAAAGAATAACAGTTATAGAGATGAAGAAATATAAACGGATAAGCAAATACGAAATGGAAAATGATCTGCCAGCCAGGGAGGCAGCAGCACTACGTTGTTGACTGTGTCCATCTGTGTTCTGCAGCTGCGATGGGATGTTCTCAAGCTTCATTAGCAGCTGATGCCTCCACCAGCGTTTTGGGTGGTGAGTAAAGAACAGCACAGACTGCGGATTAGTTAGCACTCGTACATTGTGTTCGTATTATCCTTACTGGCATCTGCCTTCCCTCTGCCTAATGCTGGCTTGGTCCTTGTCATCCTTTCTCTTTCTCTCGGGCCCTCTAGTCGTCCCACGTTTTACTCCCCGTCTCTCCCCCTGCGTCTCGTTTCGTCTTTCTCTCGCTGTCCGCCACACGTGCTTTTCGATGTGACCTGTTGGTCGCCTCCAGCCAGTCAGTCTGACGGGGGGAGCGTCCAGTGTGGAGCTTTCAGGGACACGGGCGTCCCCAGGCCCACCCCATAGTCTCCAGAAACCACGGGGGCTCACTCGTCGCAAGGTAGCAAGTATGGACACACATGTAAGGACACACAGTTAATTTGAATAATTCTGCTGCTATTTCAACGAATTGAATGAATTGAAAAGCAGATTAATTAATCGAGAGGAGAAGAGCTTCTGGCACAGTTGGTATTATTAAGTGTAGCCTATAAGTATATCTAAAAAGAGTAGTTATTCAAATGCAGCGATATTGTACTGCTTAAAGGGGACATAAAAACACCTTTTAGTGCTTGCCGCGAATTGGGGGATCGTAACAATTAACATTCTCATTAATAGCTTTGGTATGAAATATGAAATCGTTGACGAAAGATTTAATTTAATTCTCTATGACGTGAACATTTTGCACAGCAGGAGAAGAGTCGCTGCGCCGTGCAGAATTTACGCACCAAAAAGCAGCGAGGGGAGAAGGGGAAGGTCCACGGGCTGTGGGTCGCACTAAATTGGAGAAAATAATTATTTTTGGTGAATGGCCTGTGGTTGATATATGGCTTTTAGTCATTGATTGAACGCCCCTAGCAGAAAAGGCTACATCAGCGTACGCCTACACACACGCCCTCACACGTGTTCTAAACAAAGCCTCGCGGCCGGCCGACGTCTCCGACTGTGACATGCTGGATCGATGCCGACACCCCTCCGACCGTCCTCCCGCCCCATCTCCCATCACCTCCCTCGAGTGACAGCTCCCATCAGTCTGTGTCTAACGTTCCCTGAGAACACACACACACACACACACACACACATCCCCAACACGATGATCTCACATATCACATTTTAAAATGTTGTAGTCAACAAAAGGTGAGCGTGTTGGTGTTTTTTACATTAAGGTGTAATAACTGTTCTTAATCCCCACTCCTGTTTATGACCTTTTAGTATACCAGGTGACCTCGACGTCCGGCGATGTACCCGACATGCTAACGTGCTGCTTTCTACCTTTAGGCTAAAAGTAAAAATAGTGTGATGTGCATAATTCTACTAGGATGTAGTTTGTACCTCAGATACAAGCAGTTCTTACTATTCCTCACTTGTAATAATAGAGTCTGGATTAAACTATTCTGTGTTCCATATCTGGTGTGCCGGAGCTTTTACGGCAGCGCGCCCGGAGGGATTACTTAGTTTCATGTAGAAATCATTACCTTCGTGAGACATTACGTCACTTCTGTTGGGTTTTCTGAGGAAAAAATGCACCCCTGAAAGACGTTTTGCTCTGCATGGAAATGAAATGCATTAGTGGGATTGCATAATAACTGAGCCATAAAGAGGGACTCCCCCGAGCAAGTGAAGCTTTTATTCTACTAAGTGTGTGTGCGTTTTTTCCTCTGAAGGTTACTCGCCGTTGCACCACGGCAGTGTTTGTCACACAGGTTACAAAGTGACCGATAGAACAATTCACAACCAACTGCTTTCAACACAGACTAGACAAAGTTGTCGTGGGTCGCTATTATTCTGTGATGAAGCTGAAGATCTACACAGTTAGGCTATTTGCTAAACGATGAACAATCTTTTGGTGTCTTCGGCGCGATCTGTTTGGTTGCGCATTAAATCCAGCCACGCGAGCAAAGTCAAAGAAAGAAAGTAACAAGAAAATGTCTCCGTCAACGTTGTGAGAATGTAAACAGGACCCAAACGGTTTTCCCAGATGCCATTTCAATATGTCAGCAACTCAAATGGACCACGTGCTGTTTGCCTTCTGCTGAGAAAAACCCACCACGCGCCCCTCGCGGCGCACGTCACACGTCACGTGTGATCAGCGCAACCAGCCAACAGCGGGCAGGTACTTTCATCTCGACGTTTCCTTCACCATATTTATATATATATATATCTGGCATTGCAGTGCCAGTAAGGGCTCCCCTTTCACAGTGGGACTGCGGCTGGTCGGGCTGCGCTACCATCAATACGCTGACCGTACCACATGCTCGATGCCAGGGAAGATAAAATCAGCATTCCATATCAGACTTTATAGTTTTTCATTGGAGGAAAACCACTTATTTAGAAGTTCATACGTCTGTTTTGCTCCTGACTTCCAAGTCCAAGTGTGCCTACAGCGAGAGGGGAAGACGAGCAGGTGGGGAAGGAGGGAAAGGGAGCAAGGTGAAAGAAGAGGAGGACGACGAGAGGACAGAAAAACAAAATCCCGGTGCGGTCCGTATGCCTGCGGTAATCCCTCGCCCGTCTCCGACCTTGAGCGCTTAAAAACCTCAACTTCCGCCAACTCAACACAGCGAAAGAGACGGGACGGGGGAGAGGGAGAGAGATAGAGTGGGCATAGCGCTGACCCGAGCACATCTCTAGAGGAAATCACCCCCCCCCCCCCCCCAAGGGGGGATTTACGCTGCCAAATGCATTAACTTCCAACTGTTTTTTTTGTCCAACACAGCATGCAATCAGGCGAGAAAGCGAGCACTGGCATTGTTTGTCTGATGAGGCTGCACGGCACACGTCTCTCCGTCCTCGGCTCCGTGGCTGTCCTCCCTCCCTTTCCCTGCCCTCTTTTTTTCCGACCGTACATTTGGTCTTCTCTCATTCATTCCCACGGCGGAAGGATTTAGTTGTGTTCCCCTCTATTTAATTGGTAATTAAAAGATAGCTACTGATTTTTTTTCTTCCCAGAGTGGTAGATGTGGAATTAAAATGGGAGAAAGTTGCAGCAGGGAAGGAGAGGATGGAAAAGTGGGACCGGGGGGACAAAGGGTCGGGAGCAGCTGCTTGGAGAGCAAGTCCCTCTTTTAGTGTCCCATTTAATCACTCACATTTCAGAGAGAGCAAGAAGCAGACCTGCTAATCAAGAAGAGAAATGATAAATAATACTGAAATATCAATAAATATTTCATTTTAAAAAGCAGGATCACATGACTGTGGGAGCTATTCTTCGTCCCTCCGCTGACATTCCCTCCTCTGCGCCTTTCAGCGAGGCAGAAAGAAAACCAGGGTGGCTTCCTCTCAAACCGATGCAGAGTGGTGGTGCTTATCAAGAATTAATGAAGAGCTTCAGATGGAAACGTAACAAGCCACCCTCATCTGGCATCTCAAAAAGAACGACTCCCGCTGCTCAATAAGCTTGGTTTTTTTTTTTTTTTTTTAAATCATGATGAATGGGTTGCCGAAAGTACCTGATGAGTCATCTTAGATTAGCACTCGCGGCCTGATCTGAGAAGTGGAGTATTGAGGCAGAGACTTCATCGACCCCCGGATGTGCTGAAGCAAACGAGGAGCTGCTTGGAGCGAAGGCTTGAGCCCATGAAAGTTGAATTTGGATCAGTGAGCAAACCACGTTTTCCTTTTAGCAACTTCAAGTGGTGAGATTGCGAATTGGGGGCCTCACAGCGTCCTTCGGCATGCTCAACACCGGCCTGAATGCATCTGCAAACACGACCCGGAGCTGATTGGTCGATTCAATGGACAGGAAATCATCATCAAATCATTTTACACAGCAGCTTTTTGTGTCAAGCAACGGAGGAGCATATCCTATTAAAGTCAATCAGTGCTAAATTGAAGGCGGCTGGAGGTTAGTTTGAATTCACAGAGGAGCTAAAGTAAGTTCCAAAAGTGGCTTCAAAACCTCAAAGAGCTAAGTGACACTAAGATGCACTTTTGGATCCACGCATTCAAAGCCGGCTTACCAGAAGTTGACCAGGAACGGATGCTCAAGGTTCTGCATTATCTGCAGCTCTTTCAAGACGTTCCTCACTTCGTTCCGCTCCACGCATTTCAGCTTGTTCATGTACTTCATGGCGTACATCTTCTTAGTGTCCTTCTTCTGTACAATGCAGACCTGACGATGAGATTACATAATGGGTAGTTTCTTTCACTCCACTGGTCAGAATGCTCTGAATACTTTATTGGTGTTGTGCTTGTGTGTCTCAGTCTCATCAGCATCTTCAAGGCTGTTAAAGTGGACTCGTTGCTGTCTTCGAACTCTAAACAGAAGACATAACCGTCCACAAGTATAACGAATTCCTTACTGCCAATGCTGAAACACATAAATTGCCACACAAAACTATAGAAAAATAGAATATATGCATCATGAAAAAAAGGTTGCTATCAGCATCCTTTTAAAGATGCTTCAACTGATTTGTAAGATTTATCACTTTGCCAGATTTCAACGAGCAATAAATGATAAAATGCATAAAATGACATTGAGAAACGATGTACTTTTACAAACTGTTGCAATATAGTGGCGTCTTTTCCATTATTCATCCATTTTGTCTCAAGCTTTATTGCTTGTGACGAACCTGCGATATTGCAATAACGGTCCAACGAGCCTGGAGGGAAACTCCCTCTTTAATCTGTGCGATCAGGAATTTAAGCCCCGTTAAGGCGCTTTTAAGGCGTTAAACTTTTCACACTCGAATATTTTGCATTTCAGCGATGGGAAACGTTGTGTTGGCATCAGTCATATATTTCAAAGTTGCATAGAAAATGCCTTCAAGCTGCACTCAGCACTCTGTATTTGTGTATCAGTGGGAGGAAAATGGGCTCTGATGTGAAATGCAGAATATCAGACCTGTTGCAATCTGTTCTGCTGTCATTACACATATAAATCGTACGCGACTGACAACGACTGGGAATGGACACTATTTTCGAGGATTCATTTTGAGTTACGAGCGTCCATAAGCCGCAGTGGCTGCTGCCTTCTAAGACAGCGATCCGTGGACCAGCCGGCCCCGTTAATCAGCCAAACCCTGATCGCATCACTCGGCGTCCACTGTGATTAGACTGCTTATCTGTTGATGGAGAGCAGATGCCTCGAGGGCCTGCGATCGCTGCACGCATGTGCATGCGAGCGTGCGTCGCTGCTGCGTGTGCTTACGTGTTACGTTTTTCCTGGAAATGTTTGTGGTGTCCGTTGTGAGGTATCACGTTTTACTCAACCGGTTTACTGGTTTGATATCGATAAATGAACTGTGTGTATCGCAAAGCTGTTTCCAGTAAACTTTTCCAAACAGAGACTTACTTTTCCAAAGCTCCCTTTCCCTATTGCCCTCAGGATCTGGAAGTTGTCGAAATTTACTGCGAAAGAGAAGAGCAGAAAATCTCTGTTAAGTACAAATCGGAAATTTGAAACTGAAATCTTGCGGTTTTCCTCTTCAAATTACAGTAAAGCTTCCTCCTCCAAAACAAGTATACATATACATACAAATATACAGCTTAACAGGATCAATGCTGGATATCAGTGGCATAGAAAATGGATTACATGGGATGGATGGAATACAATTCTCCCTTTGGGAGGACAGCAGGGACACTTCTTGTTTTATAGCCCACCATGATAGAGGACCGTTATATTTTAAGTTACATCGTAATTTGTTATATTTCAACCAATAACCTTTTTTTCTTCTTCCATAAATAGGAATGATAAAGGCTTATGAATGTCAGTAGAGTTCTAGTAGGCTCCTTGTGAGGTTGACATGTCAAAGCCAACGGAGACATCCATGGCAACCACAGGTCACTTGACATAAAGACGTCACACTACACGTTGTGCGCTTTGCCACTGAACAAAAGAGCACGTTTCTGCCGCTCCGTATCCTCCCGGCCTCTTTCTATTCTTTCTATTCCTATTGAACGCACTCACAGACGCACACAACCTAAAACCAGAGCGCAACTCCCTATCTCACTCCCCTGCACCTATCAGCAACATTTATCGCCAATTGGAACCAGATGGGGCTGTTTGTTTCTTGCTACCATGACAACCAGGACAGAAGGTTTTCAATGCCCGTCCTTTTCCCCGAGGATGGAACAGCTGGTGTCCACTTATACAACCACAAGTACACACGCGGGGATAGACACAAAACACACGCGCTGCCCGCGGCCACTAGATCTATCGGATGTGGCGGTTACCGTTGTGTGCGCTGTTCGTCACGTGTCTCCGGGTCCGTTCCTCCTTTCGCACTATCACGCTTTTTACCCAAACGACTTTGAAAATGGCCATAACGGGGCCCCGCTTTTTAATGAGCAACTACACACACGTGGGCCGCACGGGGTCACGGATGATGTATACCCATCACGTCCAGATGATCATGTTGCTTTTCCTGCTGAGCTTTAAGATTGGACGGGTTTTTCAGAGAGAGACGGCCGCGGTTGTGAAGGAGAGGGCAGACCTGTGTGGTCCCGGAGAGAGACAGAGACAGATTGAGGCAGACATACAAAACAGGGAGGGGGGGGCGAGGCAAACCGAATGTCATATTTCACCAGCGGAACTCCGAATGGTTTAATGTGCCATAGGGACGAGTGGCACATGACTAACTGAATCTGCGCGCGAGGGACGGCGGACGCGTTGACTGACAGTCTCTCTCCGTGGCCGGAACTAACTGATGAAACCGAAGAACCTGTCAGTTTGATTTGGACTGACGCGCGCTATAACCCGCCCTGCATCGAAATGATCGGGCCCGTTGGGTCTGAGCCTGGCGCCACGCGGCGTGGCCTCAGCGTCACGCCGTTCTCCGCGTGTACGGCTGTCTGTTTTCTCCGTCCGTCACAAGCAGTCTCTGTCCCCTGCGTATGTCCACGCTATGCCAAACGGCCTTTGGATGGCGCCCTCTGTCAACACCCGACGCGATCATACGCTCAAAAAACAGGTGGTTTTGTCCTTTATGTGAATCTCAGCGGAGACATTAGCAAGTGTCCCGTCTGCTCAGACACAATGTGCGAACCTGGAAATCCAGGTTTTTGGAAAACGACAGAATGAGCATGAAGACAACGCTCTGTCTGCAGCAGGCTTGTGTTTGTCTTTATTTTTTGGACTTTGCACTCGGCCCCGAGCACATTCCCTCTGAAACATGAATGTGAGAGACAAAGGATGCCGGACACTGTTGTGAGTTTCGGGGTATGCGTCTAGTTGCGTTGTGTTACAAAACTTTTTACAGCCGTTTAAAAAAAAGGTTTGGAAACGACCCTCAAGTCACTTCAGAGTTATTTAGTTCTGAAACGGGAAGATATGTAAATGAGGAGCCATCAAATCATGAGTTTGGTATACTCATGTAAACACGAAACACAGTAGGCGCTTGCAGAAAGCAGTTCAACCGATACTTGACACCAATTTCCTGATGTTACTCCGTTTTTTTTTCTCCAGAATTAGCCATCTCATCGTGGACGCACTGAGTCCCTCTGTCGGCCCCCCGCCCCCACCACACGCACACACACACACACACACACACACACACACACACAGAAGCCACCTGCAGACTAACCGACGTGGGAGCATCAGCGGTGAACTGAAACCGAACCCAGGGGTCCACGCGCCGCTGAAGGGAGCACGATCAGCAGTAAACGAGGCCTGTCCATTAACCAGAGTGTCCCGGTTGCACAAAGTGGAAAAAAGGCCCGTAGCTCAGGGGGAAGTCAGCCACGTCATCCTCAGGGGAGATAAACATGTCTTTAACAGAGTTCACCTTCGTGCACGGGCCTTTCTGCTAATCAACTGATATGGGTTGAACTTCAGAATACGGAAAGCCGTCTATATTCTGACAATGTGTTCTAAACGTTTTCTGGGAGAAATTTAGTTTTAACATAAGTCGAGCAACAAGAATATTATTATATCGACTACGTTTTTGTCGCTGTACTTTTGAGTTTGTCGCTACTTTTGATATTTTCTTAATAATACTTTGAAATAGTAATGCCTTGGCAGTAGTATGGGTGAATTATCCCTTTTGTTTTACATTCATTTAAATAAAAAATGTAGCTATAACGATTTAAAAGGAGTTTTTGCAGCAGGAGGTTACATTGTGCCAAAAAAGCAGCATTAAATAATGATGTGCATCACAATCTCTCTAAATATCTTCTAACATTCATATTTTATGTCTACAATATGTGCGAGAGACACTTTTTTGCAAACTTGCAAAGGGAAAATAAGAGACAAAGGACTAAACTTCCCTACCAGCTGCATTCATCGGGTTATTTTTGTGTTACGTCAACATTTATTAATTATTACCATTAATTTAACGCACAAAAATCCCACCTTGTGGCCGATATTACCCTGAAGCCACCTCTGATGCTTCTGAAGTGAAAACTCACTTTGCATCTTAATTGCTTCTCTTAGATGGTAAGTGCATGATGCGCCAACATGCAGCGACCCGCTTTACCCCCCCAGAGAGAACGCTGCCTACGTCCGGCTGGGGTTTCCTCGGTGGGGGGATTACTTACTGTTACTGTTTGCAGTGAGCCGGCCTCTTGCTAATTTATAACAGTGTCTCTCTGTGTTTATTTATTCCACAGCCCTCGCTGTTTAGTGAGGGGGGGGGGGCAGTGAGTAAGTAAGGTGCACTGTAGCGTTTAACATCCAGGGTTCACAGACGCCCCGTCATGAGCGACATTTCCAGAGTGGCACACTAGATGACCGATCAGCAAGGTTAACTGTGAATGATGGTTTCCTCCTTGAAAGGAGGGGGGGGAAGGGGGGGGTCGCCTCCAGTGTGGGAGAGAAAGCCACGGCGTACGGATTGAATCGGGTGGAGTGACATGTTTTGATGACTGATGGAATATGAAGCCATCCAATGTTTGAAATGAAAACTGATACATTTAGATTTACAATGTAACAAAAATAAACAAACGTATTAGGTCCTCTAGGAAACAAACAAACAAACAAAAAACTACCAAGGAAAGCCGCCTCACTTCTGACTAAATCACAGACTCATAAAACACTCATTTTCTTGAAGTCCTTTGCGTGCAGACAGAGTGGGATTTCTTTTTGATCATTTGAGGCACTGCCTCCGATCGATAGATTCACATCGTGTTGTCTAACCAAGTCACAGAGAAAAGGGAAATCAAAGTCATAATCAGTTATATGTCATCAATTATGACTGCACTCTACTCTGTGTTTAATTGTGTGGACATACAGTACGTCACGCTGGCTAAATCTGTGGCCGCAAAAGGGAATTTCCCTCAATTACATTTGCCGAGGAAGAGTTGTGGGCGCCCTGATCAGCAGATCCATTTCCTGTAAGTGCACTTCATTTTATTAGCTAATAGAAACAGCTTCACACATTGATACGGCTGCAGATAAACAGTCGTAAATCCTGCAAACTACGTGTCCTTTTGTTTAACGCTCCCTGTGCATCTCCACTAGATTCCGGGTGGCAGAAGTAGAAGACACCAAAGAAAAGAGGAGAAGTCCCACTAGGGCGTCGGATCTTTTGGGACTCACCCTCGTCTGTGTCCTCGGCGAGCGCCGCCTTGCTGGACTGTCCGAGCCCCATGGCTGCTCCTCTCAAGGTTCTCCTGGTCCGCTCCTTCAGCTCTGCTCAGCATCCAACGGTCTCTCCCTCTGAGACGCACTCATAGCCTGGTCACCAACAGCCCCTCTCACACACACACACACACACACACACAAGTGCTGCACTGCTTATCCCTGACACACACACACACACACACACACGCAGTAGATGGCTGGGTTTTGCTGACTTGGATGGGTCCCGTCTTCCTCTCAACTCCCCACCTTGACACAACCTCACACACACACACACACACACACACACACACACAGAGGCGGTGGCGCTACAGTGTAAGTCTCCCGCGTGTCTTCACCCCAGTGTGGACGGACGATGGCAGACCTTCGACTCTCGCCAGGCGGGCGGCTTGTGTTTCAGTGGCTGTGACCCTCCGCTGACTGATGGTCCAACCTGCGAGGGGAGGCGGGGACACACGACACCAGCAGCAGCAGCAAGAGGAGGAGGAGGAGGAGGAGGAGGAGGAGGGACAGGCAGCCAGAGAGGGGGGAACAAGTGGAAAGGTATAGAGGCGGTGAGGTATAAATGGCTCGTACGCGGCATCTGCTGATGAACGGAAAGACTGACACGCGTTATATTCTCAAGAGACGAAGGGGAAAGAAAGGAAACGTGGCTCTTAAACTCCACGGGACAATGACACCGGCACTTTAGGCAGTAATCAACTTGATGGAAAATTATTTACAAGGACTTACATGTAAGTCTCCTTCATTCTGTTCCTCGTTACTTCCTTCATCTGTCATTTATCAATTATTTGATTTTGACAGTTCTATTCAGAAACTCATCCCGGGGGAGCAGCGTCTGCATGTGTGATGAATGGTATGATTGCTTTTTCTATTAAGAGCACAAAATGGGAGTCTGTTGATTTATAGTTTTCTGGCATTGGGTACAGTGAATGGGATCCCTGAGGCAGCCCTCCTCAGGACGTGACATTTCACGAGTTACTACGTATTGTTGCGGTAGTAGACAAAAAAAGAAAACACATATCAGAAAGTGCATGATGTAACACGAAACTACTAAACTACGTTCACAAAGGAAAATGAAATAAATCCATCTGCATCGAAAAATAGTACCCCCGTGTCTATTCTGAGCTTCTAGTCTCCTATGATGATGACAAAATTCATATCACAGCTTCACGGTTACGTTTGCTTTATCCTTTAAAAAAGAAGCGCAGCACATCCCATAATATCTTACAGGGGAATTGAATGACCGAACTGAGCAGCTGAGATGCATTTTAGAAATCAATATAAAAAGTTCGAGTCATCGTGGCAACATTTAATCCGCTAGGGGGAAACCCTTTTTATGAATGTCATCCCTACAACTGCGTGATAAGGTCACCACGGCATATTTGACCCCCCCCCCACACTCCCCCCTCCCTCATATGTGTCGAAGAACTATTGTGGGGGAGCCGTTTAGCTGAATTAAACGCAGGTCCTTTTAACTCGGAGCCCCTCATCCTAACATGCCACTCAATAGTAAAATACGACCCCTCCACTCGTCGTCGTAGTGATGTTCTGGGGCGAGAAGTAACTAGGACACACACACACACACACACACACACACACAATGAATCCCTGCAGGACAGCTGTGGGCACCTACCTTAGAACGCGCCCGGTGGGTCGGGGGCGCATGGGACCGCTTCCAGGCCGGTTTGCTGCAGAGAGGTGAGGCGACACAGGGGGAGCAACAGTGCAGCTCAGAGGATCATTTCTTCGATGTCCGTGCGACGACGCACCGGGACGCCCGTGCGCAAAGAACCGCCCCCTCCTCCCCTAAAACGGAACCACACAGAGAGACCTGACTTGCGACGGGGTACGATGGAGAAACCGCCTCAGCTTCTGGAGGACAGATGAGACAGCGAGCAGAGACGGGTTTTTAGAAAATAAGTGTGTGTGTGGGGGGATGAGGGGGTGGCTGGTGAGTGGCGCGTCGCACACTGGTGAGAGACTGACCTCCACATCGACGCGGTGGGCAATGCGCTGGACACCCGCGCGCCTTCTGGAGACGCACGTTTCACGGGCTGATCCGCCGTGTCGTTCAGCATTAATCCTTTAAAAAAAAAAGTTGCATCCTCTAATGAATGTCCACAAAGACACTGACTGGATTGACGTCGCGGGTGAAGTAAGTTCCGTGTGAGTCCCTTGGAGTGGTTGTCCCCTGGGTCGTGGTCTGAGATCCGCGGGTTGTGCGCTACTATTAAAATACAACCTGAAAACAAGCAGCATGTATCACTTTAAAATTGGCACCGCCTCACAATACTTTATTTACACCTGCGTGGAATTCCTGATGTTGCCATGAGTCAGGGTTCATCATCAGCTGCAGCACAGCGCCCCCCCCACCCCACACAGCGGAATCTACCATAGCACTTTGCCTAAGGGCCCTTCAGCAGGGCAGGTTGTCGACAATGGGCTCTGGGTGAGGACCAGTCTCTTTATAGACAAGCCTGCCGTCTCATGATAGCCCTTAAACATATGTGGAAATAGCAATCATGCAGTAATGTATCTTGTGTTCTACAGTGAGTCTATAGTTTAATCCCATTCGGAATCAAGGTAATAAACCTTTAGTATTAGTGAATACTCTTTGTGCCTATTAGGCCTGTGAGCACAGTTATTGCTCACCATCTCATAAAGGTTTTATGTATAAATCAAATGTCTTTCTATAAAGTTGATGTCAAAACTGGAATATTGTACTTAACTGGACATATCAGGATACTCACATACTTGGTGATACAATGGCTACTTTAGCTGTTAGTGTACTGCTAGTATGCACTTAAGTATACTCTTATAGAGTACCGTGGTTGTATTGGACGTCCAAAATGTATAGTAATGGATAACTATCTGAAGAAGTAGGGGAGGTGGGTTAGTTATCTGAAAAAGACGTCCCCTTTGCGTTATGTGTGTCAGCTCCATGATGCATATGCATCGGAGTCCGCTGTATTTCGGCCACCATTCTGTGGTCCAATCTCTCAACGTGCGTCCAATCCTGAGGTCATTAATAGTAAAACACCACCGTCCGCGACGAGGACTGTCCCTTCTGTCCCCTGGTTAATGGAGCAGGCCAAGGTCGAGGGGAGAAAGACGGTGCGGCGGAACTCTGGGAAAGGAGACACGCTTCCAGCGCTCGCTGCACTTATTCTTCCTCCTTTTCCACTCGGTCATTCCGTCACACCCTCGGTGTTGCCCATCCATCTTCCTACGGAGGTAAGGGGGGGGTCAGACCTACTCTCAACAAAGAGGTGACAAGCACCACTCAGTGGCAGGGCGACTTCTTATCAGCAGTACGACAGCATCAGCAGTTGTGCTCTCCTTTTAGAGGAGACGAGTGTCTTATCACACCTGGACAGAAACGGATTAAAGCTATAAAACATAGAAGAGGCCTGACGTGTTTTCCAATGTTGTCCTAGTTTTGTTATGCTCAGAAAATAGAAGCGGTCATAGATAATCATAGATAGTCTTGGCGTTACTTGATTAAGATTTCCACTGAGGAAAGCCACTATTATTGAACACAACGGTTGAGGACATTGGAGACCGCTCAGGAGGACGTGAGGAGATCACATCTGGGGAATGAATGCCATCTAGTGGATAAAAAAAGATGGAACAAGATGTGACAGCAGCCAATGTGTTTAATACAGTTAGGGTCTAATGGGAATATCATGTACTACATAAATGACATTCATGACCAATATTACAGTCAAAGTATCAACTCTGCCCTTATTCTCCATGTAGAAATGCTTCATTAAGGAAAACGTGAATCAGAGTAATGGTTGATGAAGCCTTGGGGCTGAATATTGTAGGATTGTTAATATAGAAGCATCACTGTTTTACCACCTATAGTTTGATCTGGGAGACACTATGTGAACAGTTAATACTATGAAACAGATTACAACATGTAATACACTGCATGCATTAACATATCAGATGCTGCATTGCAGAAAATGTAACCTAAACTGAAAATATGGTGTCTTACTGTCTTCAACGCAGCTCTATACTAAATAACGATATAGTAATTTCGCCTTTCCTCTTAAATACCCAATTGTTACTATTTTGATCTCTGTGGTCTGGTTTTCACCCACTGTAGCTACATTGTTTTATTGTATTTCGGTTTTTCTTAGTCAGTGTATCCAAGGGAAAAGTCTGAGCCACTTCTGCCGGTTAATGGTTTGCTCTGAGGGTTTCATAAACAGGGTTTATTAAAAAACGTCGGTGCTGTGTGGATGTTTGAGCCTTCTCTGCTGAACTGTGAAGTCTCCTGTTGAGTTTCAGCAAAGGGTTCAATAATGTAATATTACATAATTAAACTTGGATCCATTCTTACTACCTTTTACAATAATGGAGTATTATATTAATAACCATGTATTCCTACATCAAAGGAATTCATCTATTCATTTAGACGATGGTATTTCTATTTTTTTTTATTCAAGTCAAGCATCTGGAGTGTTCTCTCACGTCGGTTTCCACCTGCTCCACAGGTGGTGTTGCACTGAGCTGCGCGCGCCACTAGAGGGCGCGCTGCCACCGCCTGCACAGGTGAAGAGCGAGATTGTTGAGAAAATAATGTGGTTTACATGAAAAGACAGCAACATTGCAAACACATTTGTGATTTGAAAACCACTGATTATGGTATTCTACGACTTCCAAAGCATAAAAACTGTAATGGTGCATCACACAAATTCGAGTCCCTCACGTATTGTTAAAAGCAGAACTACAGACGTCACAGCGATGTGGTACGATGCGAAAGAGCTGAAAAACCGGGGTCGTAATAAGTTAATAGCCGCTTTGCCCACGAGCTCCAATTAAAGTTAACGAGGCTCGTTAATTGCACAGCTGTTCGCGTCGTCGCGAGGAGGACACGCGCCGCACCAACCCGGACACGAACTCCTCGTTGCCTCCTCAGCGCGATGGGCGCGCGCCCTTGTTCCTTAAAAAGAAACTACAGTTCCATGACGGCAGTGGGAGGGGTCGTCGAGTAACGAGCCGGGGCGGGGTTTTTTTCCAGCACTTTGGAAGCAACAAGTCGCTGAAGGCGGTCACTGGTCTGCATCGTGTCTCCGGCGGCAGGTGGTCACGGCGCGTCGTGGATCGTGGACGGGGACTATGAGCGCGCGACCTTCGGACAGAACACTGCTGACTGCTCTCAACTCGCTCAGTTTCACTTTTGACTCACTCCGATACGCGCACCGTAAATAGTGGTGAATTTAGCTGAATTGACGCGCGTGCGTAGTGTTCTCTGCGCCTTTTGACACTTTTATTTTTATTTTTATTTTTTTTAATGTGGAATTGTAAATAATGGCCTTCGCTAGATTCAGCAAAATATTCCGTCTGCCTCCCATTGATCTCAAGAAGAAGCTCAAGCAGTACGAGCACGTTCACCGGGACATCGACCCCAACGATTTATGGGAAATTATCGGCGAGCTGGGCGACGGCGCCTTTGGAAAAGTCTACAAGGTGAGGTTTTGATTTTAAAGTCACCCGGATCAGTGTGCTCATGCGCCCGGTTCATCCCAACCTTTGGTCGTTGATTGCTCACTTGTCGCCCGACTTCAGTTTCTAAAGTCCCGATCACTTTCACTAACATTCACCGCACATTGCATTTAAAGTTCTATGAGTCACACCGGGAGGACGGAACCACCTGTAGCTCTTTTTTTCTAAGCACGTATTTCACATTGTAGAGGAGTGATCGAACTTCTGCTCACGTGTGGATGTTTTGTCAGCCCGTCCCTGCTGAGGTGGTGACTAGTATATGTCAATAATTTGCTGCAGAGTTCCACTCCAGTAGTCACTTGGCAGGTTTCTTTTGAATGCCATGTTGTTAAGAAAGCCCATTGTTCATGCCACGCCATGTTGGTCAAGGATTGTTCACATCCTCCTGCTGAGATCCACTTCACCATCGGGTCTAATCGCTTTTCTTAACTATTTCCTCAGTTAAGATAACTTTAAGTAAAAAGAGACTTTTTAATATGTAAAATACCCCCCCCCCCTCCCCACCACCCACTTGCTCCTCATCAGTTCTGTCCAGTCGTCCCCTGCTGCATCAGCACTTTCAGTCGCTGAGACATGAATTCATCTGGATCGGTCCCTCCTGGGAAGCCGGGCACAGGCGCGCAGTGTGCGCGCTGGCCAGCGGAGCACAGTGAGCGTCTTTCACGCAGCTGGCGCCTCAGTGGAAGAAGTGATGCCTTCTGCACCCAACAGAAAACTTAGTGTGTTTACATATGGGGTTTTTCTTTCCGCCTTTTTATTTAGGTATTTAGCTGGACAACATGCAGTTGAAGCGACTCTCTGTGCAACGCTGACTTGTTTGCACTGAAATGAAAAGAAAATCGTTCACAACCTTGCTCCCAGCCCGAGGTCTGGCTATTATCTAACTAGTCCTATAATGCGTCTTTTGAGCGGAGCGAGCATGTGAGGAGTCCTATGGAAAGCCTTTTGATTCCAATGGGAAAAGTCAGTGAAGCAACCAGTACGCCATGAAGACAAAAATGCTTTTGAGTTGTCTGGTCCAAGAAGCGACCGACTGGACACGAGGTGCTTTGACGTGTATAAATCCACAGGGGGTTCTTTAAAAGTTAGTGTTGAGGGACGCCTACGCCCCCCCCCCCCTACGATATTCCCCTCTTTCATCCAAATGTGTCTGCTTCTGTTTCCTCGAGTGGGTTGGAGGAGGCCTCTGTCAGGTGGAGGCGGACGCATGGTGGGAGCAGACGATGGCCTGGAGGGGAAACCGTGGGACTGCATCGGGGGGGCGGGGGGGGGGACCACGAGTTATCGGCTCGTCTGTGGGTGGGAGAAGTCTCGGGTGGTGGATTGCACATGTTTCCGTTGTTAAAGTCTGTGATGGAAGCAGGCGCGAAGAGGGCGTCGATACCTCATGACAATAGACCGCCGCTGCTTATCAGATGGGTTGGGTTGGGGGGGGCTACACGTGAGCGAGCCGGTGGATCCTTTTGCAGAATAAAACGACTTGATTCTTATGTGTGTTTGTGCAAAGTTCTCGCATGGCCCTTTTTTTGTTGGTTTCAGCACGGACCTCTAACTGTACAGCGTTGGTTGAGACCGAGTGCTCTTGGCTAACGGACTCTCCAAAGGTTTAAGGCCTATTGGGAGAATAACAACGACTCTCGGTTGCGTAAGGGGGGGGGGTTCGCAGAGTGATGAATCGCGCAGGCCGTGTGCAAATGTCTATACCACAGAGATGCAATCCATCCCTCTGTTATCAAATACTTTCCGCTTTATTTGTTTATCCTACATGTATGAAAAGGATTTGCATGACAAAAAAAAGCCCACACTGTAAATGTGTTTAGCATCTTTACACGTAATGTGACAGAGTAAAGAAACCAAATGCAGAGTAATCACTTTGAAATGTCAGGGCTTCGTAGAAGGAAAGACAAACAAGCTGCTGTGGACATTCTCAAGCGCTCTTTGTCACAAGATTGCATCTTCACTGTCACTGGGGTGTTGTCACGCAGATCGGTTGTTAATCACTGTTGGCAGTTTTTTAAGGATCGGCTCATTCCAATTGGAACACTTCAAAAATTCCTGCTGGAAGACGTTGACAGAGCGCACTTGTCTCTAAATGTTGCGCAACGTCCCGGACTTTACCTCCCCCGCGCAGTCTTCACCACAACCACTTCAGTCACTCTTACTTCAAGTCGTGGCAGGAGAGCGTCTCACTTCCTGTCCACGCCATGTATCGCAGGATATCTTTTGTTGTTTGTCTGCGTGTCGGCCTATGCACGCTTGCACTTGTTGGAAGGAGTGTGTGTGTGTGTGTGTGTGTGTCTGCAGCCGAGGCATGAAACACAAGAGTTGTATGGTTCCCCTCACTAATTAATGGGACACGTGCCGCTGAGCCCATTGCCCTGCTGCCACTGGCAAAGTGTTTCCATAGACACGAGCAGTTTGTATGGTTACGCTACGTCACATTTTGCATGTGGGTTGAAAGCCATTGTGTGTGTGTGTCTTACACTGGGTTACAGGGCTTCCTTGTTTACTCAGCCACAGATTGTACACAATTGCAACTTGGTGAAACACTTCAGTCACTGCAGCAAGAGTGGATTGTGGTGAAAAGACACTGAGACACTGCAACAATGGATTTAGTGCACCGTGTGTTTCTCTTCTAACGGCATCATCGGTTGTAATCAGAATGAGTCACGTTGAGTGTTGACGGGAGGAACCACTTTTATTCCCCCTACAACAAGTCTCAGAAACGCACCGGGCGCTTGCACTGAGGGGGAGGGGTCACCGGTTGCAACATCCTCTTTGCAAAGGAAAGCCCAAAAGTTTGTGTAAAGGCCACAGTCTTAATTTAGAAACGCGGCGGTGCCACGGAGACGCATGTCCATCGTCAGACTCTGGGTCTAATCTCAGGGACCAGCTGGGTCCAAAGCTACTGATAGGAGCCCCGACCAGTGGGTGTGGACGCACACAGATGGCACTCGCAGAAGAGCCGTGTGTGTTTTCTGTTACTTTTTAAAGTTCCTCTCTTTTTCAAGTTCGCGTGTTAGCTGGCGTTCACGTGACGCGGTGTCAGTGGGTGGTTGCGTTCGCATCGGGTACTGGAAGCTGTAATGAGAAAGTGGATCTGTTGAGAGATTCCTGCCTCTGAATCTCTGAGTCATACATGTTTCATCTTTTTACAAGAATAGTTGAAGAAAGCCACGTAAGGGCGGGATGCTTTCTTTGAGGCTCCTTGTGACCTCAGCAGGATTTCCTGCCACACTGACCTGCTGTGTGCCTTCACTTCAAGCTCTTGAAAATGGGAAGTTTTCAATGCTGATCAAAACTTTCTTTCAACTTTCATTTTTTTTCTTTCTTCCTTCTCACGCAAACAGCAGTTTGTGGCTTGCTGGGGAGTTGATAAGAACTTTCTTGGTTTGAAGCTGGGGTTAGTTAAAATACAAAGTTTTTGATTTACTATGTTATATGAATGAATACTTTGTTGCCAGCACTGCTTGTTTTTGTATACTTAAAAAAAGAGCTGTTTTCACTGCATATTTTGATTAAAGTTATTTTAGTTATTTTACCCAAAGATGCAGACAGTTTTTCAGCCCTGACTTGTGTGCAAGAGTCGTTTAGTGAATGAAACTGAAACGGAAACTGCCTGCCTGCCTTTTTTCTGTACATAGCTATATTAATAAACGCATTGTTTTTAGCCATTTGTTTCCATGTGTTTGTCATTGTGCATTGTGTCGCTTGTGTGTACTGTGCTACTGCCTCTTGGTCATCATTGTAAATGGAAATTTGTTGTCAATAGATTTTACCTGGTTAAATTAAAAAAAAAAAAACGGTGACAGATTTGATTTGAGGCTGTTGAACATGTTTCCTTTGTGCACCTTGTTCAACCTAAACGAGAGATCATCACTTCCACCGGCGTCTGCTGTCAGAGGGGAGGTTTTATTCGCTGCTCACATTCCTGTTACACTGGATGAGTCTTCAGAGGGAGGGGAGGTTACAGGTTTATGACGGGACAAAGGTCTATCATTCCCCTGAAAGGTGTGTGTGTGTGTGTGGCAACTACAACACTGTACACATGCTGAAAATACACATCAGCATGTGTTATGTCCATTCACCCTGGAGGTGACTGACCCCGGGGAAAGCTCTGTGACCCGTTTCAAGGGGTCATCTGGTCCTTTCACTCTGATTAACTATTCCATACTTGTCAACCCAGTTTAAATGCACAGAGAAAGCGTAATCTGTACAAAAAGATCTCAAATGTTGTATATTTCAGGTTATTTTGCGGCTTGAAGTTGTAACCGTCTGCATTCTTCTTTACGCCAACACACCTGCAGTAATCTTTAACGTCTCAGAAAACACATTAAACATAATTATTCCGAGCTTGATTGATATTGAAAAGGCCGCGTGCTAAATAACAAACGCATGCACACAAAGTCGGGAGTGTGTGCTTGTATGTGTTTGGTTAGTCTACAGTTTGTTTGTGTGCTCAAACATGGGTCTGTAACATCTGCTTTTTCTATAGTTCTTGAGCATCAGCCGGCGAGCTTCTCTCGCTCATGGATTGTGGCCTGCGAGCAGACGGTTTCGGATAACTACATGAGTACTCTAGTGTAAAGATGCATCGTCCATTCCATGTTTTTAAGGTCTGACAGAAACTCTTGCATTTGTTTGTTTTTGTGTATACACAAACATTCATTCATTCACACTCTTGAAGTAATAAATTCCCTGTGTCACACAAAATAAGGCACCATTAAAAAAAACTTTATTATTTGTGTGTGTGTGTGTGTGTGTGTGTGATATATATATAAATAAATTCTTATTTGCATGAGGCTCCGTGTGCCCTCTGTCCACTCCCCCAACCATCTGAAGGCCAGAGGCACATTCCTCAGCTGTGTTCCCTCTGAGATGTAAAGGTGTATGTGTGTTTTGTGTAGCTGGGTCAGTGGATGAAGTTCTGAAGCAGATCGGACGGCAACCTTAATATTACTAGTCATGTTGCAATAAACTTGCAACCAAACTTTTTTTTTTTGGTCTGGACTTTCCGTGGAACCCGACTAGCATGCGGGGTTGCACATGCAAGTACCGGTGATGCATCTTCTGCTGGAAGTAAAACCCCCAGGCAGTGAGTTTGCCGACCGAGCCGAGATGTTGGCGGAGGAGTGCGAGTGTCTGGGGTGTCTCCGCGTCTACTGTCCAGGCCTGTTAACAGTACGAGGAGACGTCCTGTTGACTCTCACTGTTTGACAAACGCACACAGTCCCGTGGACCCGGAGGGACTTGGCGTGTGTGTGAGTCGCCGCGGGCCCGTTGTGTTTGCTCAGATGTTTTTTCCCACAGCCCCACAGGCGGTTGAGTCTGTTGTGGTTTCTACTGTTCACCCGGCGGCCACGTGCAAATCCGTCCTCCGTTTCTCACATTAAACTGTGGCTCGCATTGACGCGCCACCTTTCACCATAGCTTCCAACCTGTTGCAGTGACCCTTTTTAGAGGGTTGTAATTGTCTAATAAGAACAATTGCAGTTTGGATTATTTTTGTTGATCTGACGGTGCCGCACGGCTCACCGCCTCACCTTTTGAACTCTGTCTTTAAGTCTCTGCTCGTCCCCGGTGGTGCTGTTGCAATCGTGGCGCTGGGCGTGTGGTCGTGTCAGGCAGACCCTTGATGTCGCTTCCTCCCCCATCGGCCTACTTTCACAACGCCCTCTGTGTCGCAGCGACGGAGATCATGCGTTTGCCGTTTGTCCCTCAATAAGAGTCGCCTTTGTGGTGCCGCTGAACAATCCACCCATGTTTACTTCTTCCTTTATCTAAGAATTGCAAGGATTCAATGTCTTTGCCTTAATTTAGCCACACTGACACTTTAGAGCTTTTTGTGGTTCTGCTTTCTACCGCAGAGGCTCAAGAAGGGTGTGGAGTTTCCTTTCCTGTTTCTTCTTTTCTCTAAATGTCAACATCTTAATTGCTGTCTTGTGTTTCTTGACCTTTTTTGGATTTCCTGTGGCTTCAAGAGTCCGGATGGCGCAATGACAACATGCTGGGTGCATTTAATGCTTTTGGTAATTTGATCAACTCCTCTCTTTTTGGTTTTGTTTCTTCAGGCCAGGAACAAGGAGACGGGAGCTCTCGCTGCGGCCAAAGTGATCGAGACTAAATGTGAGGAGGAGCTGGAGGACTACATCGTGGAGATTGACATCCTGGCCCAATGTGACCACCGCTACATCGTCAAGCTGCTCGATGCCTTCTACCATGACAACAATCTGTGGGTAAGCGTCTCGGGAAGAGTTCAAACCACAGACTTCACCTTCCCCCAACTGAACACCATTAAGTCGAATATAATAAGTTGAATATGCATTGGCCAGATTACTGAATGCTCACTGCTTCATTTCAATCAAAGGAATAAAGTAAAACAGATGAGGAAAGTGGTCAAGGTCAATAATGTACTGAAGGGACCTTATCAGCACAAGAAGGATGCTTTCCCACTGTGTTGAGGAGTTTGTTTGCATCCTTTCCGCGCAGAGCCACAACGCGCAAACCTTTACGATCAGCGGGGTGGAAAGTGGAAAAACAGACCTTTTTAAATGTTGGCAGGCTCGTCTCAGTCTGCGACAGCCTTCATGTTTTATTTCCACGTCTCATCCAGGGTGTATTTATCCTACATATGAAAAGCTCTTGGGAATAAAGAAAGATAAGACAAGTGGACTGTCTAAATGGGGTTGACAGAAGAACCCCCCACCAGGCTGACGTAACGCATCAGAAATGACTCCATCCTCACCCCGCTGTTACAGCAAGAATCGATTTTTCAAGTTTAGTGTTTTTTTGGGATATTTTCCTTCTCCACACTCCCTCTGTGGGTCAAGTATTCGACTCCCTCTGTAATCTTCTGGTCTATCTGGCCAACAAAAATAATGGTGACCTCATGCCGGGGCACGACCTTGAATATCTGAGGAATTACAAGGCAGAGTAGAGACTAAAGATAGTTCGGTTGGGTTGTTCATTCTTCGCTTTTATTATTATTAGCTGATTTAAAGTTTAGACGCAGCCTTTTTTGTCTCCCAGTAGTTGCCCTTATTTAGTAATATGTACAATTTTTGTCCAGTGGATTTTACAACACTCCCATGGTAACAACAGGTTGGGTTCACTAATACAGCAAACATTTCCTGCAGCTACTTTTGTCACAGATACAACAGAAGAGCCACTTGTGTTTCTGTTACAGCAGACGTTTTTAAATAGGTCTATTATTATGATGATCTGACTTCCTGCCATGCGCAGCCCCAGTAGTCCTCGACACAACCGCAGGTTACAGTAAAGTTATTACCTAGCAGTGAAGTGGAGGTGTCCTAAAGCTCTGCTGCTTCTTCCCTTGCTCCAAAAAAAAGATCTGGCAGAAAACGCCCAAAATGTTTTGTAGACAGTTTTAGAAGACCAAACATGCATCATTTATTGTGAAAGCCACACCATATTTTTTTTTTTTAGCTGTGATCCAGAGATAGAATTGCAGGAACCTAATACTTTAAATGGCAAAAAATATTATCAAAATGTATGATCAAATCAGCTATTTTATGAAAACCATCAAAACATAACACAAATTCCAGGAATGCTCAACATTACAACATGACTGTCGCATTCCCAAAGCCTGACAAAACGCCTCTCACACACACACACACACACACACACTGAATGTCCTCCTGGCTTTTGAGACTTTGTTTGTTTGTCAAATGTCCAATCTCTCTGCGTAATCTGTCATTCATCCTCCATTCTGAGAACAACCTACTTTTTCTGGGTTAGTAAAGAAACCTGCAGCCAAAACGACCATATGAAGAAGTCCGAGGAATATTTCTAACGTGAGCGCGCTGGTGTTATCCTAACCGTTACCCCAGTGGCTGGCGGTCGGGCCTCAGTAACCTCCGGTTGGGTGGACCGCGCAGGGCTGAGATGATGGATTCCAGTACTGAGCCACCAGTTTTGCTTCCTCCTTCCGAAGAGAAGGATTTGAGGAAGAAAGAGACCGTGAGAGAAGGGCTGTCTTGTTCTCACTCTGGAGGGCAGCAGGGCAGCCAGGCCCACGGCGTGAGAAAAAGAGGCCCTTTCAATGCGGGGACGCCACTGCTGACATCAGCATATTCCGTAACGCAGAAGAGGGAGCTGTTACCAGATGAGAGGGACCATAAACACAGGAGAACACTTTCACTCCTTTTTTAAAAGGATTGTTAAGCCGTTGATTTGCCCAAATGACAAAACGAACCCATTTTCTCAGCCCCGTTGGTTTTACTTTGAGATATTCCTCCCCATGATTCATGCTTCCAACTAAATACTTTTTTTATGGTGTGTGTATATAATAGTGTAACAAATGAAAAGATTAAATAATTTTCAAGACTGTAGCAACGCTGTAAAACAAATGTTATACCTTGGTCAATATTTGCATGCAGTGGTTCTACGGAATGTCACCGACTGTGGTTGCTAGGAGATATTTTGATGACACCGCAGAGCGAATCGACAGCAGTCGTCTTTGGCCCCACCTCGTACACACATTAGTCACAGAGTGACTAAGACTTTATGTGCCCTTATTTCATTCTTTACTCCTCACTGTTTGAAAATAGCATTTTATATCCTTTTTTCTGTCTTCTGACCAAACCAGGTGATGTTTTTCGTGTCCAATTTGGTTGTTTGTCTCTTGTTCTTGTACTCTGCATGTGCGAGTCAGGTGAAGTCCCGCATGTGTGTGTTCAGCCCACAGTGGGTATGCTTCACATGCAGCCGGACCAGTCGGGGAACATTCTTCACGCCAGCAAAACACATCATACAGATTGGTTTTGAGGCAGAGAGCGACACAATCTGGCCACAGACACGGAGGGGAAACGAAAGCCAGTGGCTTCCGGCACAGTAATGTAATGTTCTACTGGAGGTTCACTTTGGTACGAGCCTAGTCTTAAACCGAGGAGAATTAGAAATAAGGTGTGTTTGGTTAGCGGTGAGCAGAAATACCTAATAAATCTCACACCCAGGAGTGCTTTAAAACTAGATTTCATTCGGACAGATGGTTGGAAACACATGTTAACAATCTAAGTTTCAAGTTGTAATGTGTCTCACGTGGCCGAAGTACCAGGTAAATCGGTCCGGGTTATGTGAAAAACGTCTTCTTACTGTAAAGTAATCCATAGCAAGTGGCCTGTTACATGACGGATGTTTGCACAGATGTTGATATAACATGAAACAAAAAAAACATAATTCTTCTGAACTAGATGAGGGGGGGAAAGATGTAATATCTTTCTAGACAAATCTCAAATGAAAGAAATAGATCAGAATGTGAAACCACACACAAATATCCAAAGACATTTTTTTTTTTTTTTTTTTTTTTTTTTTTAAAAGGAACTTTGTTTCTGACCTGTTTCTTAACATATAAAACTTGAGGCCTGATCTTTGTGAGACTGTAAAGATGTGAAATGCAACATAATTGAAAGCTAGTGACAAAACGCAATACTGACATTTCAAACTTTACAAAAGAACATTGTTTTGACCAGGAGAGCCGCATGCCATGCTTGACATTCCTCATTGTGTGTGTGTGTGTGTGTGTGTGTGTGTGTGTGTGTGTGTGTGTGTGTGTGTGTGTGTGTGTGTGTGTGTGTGTGCGTGTGCGTGTGCGTGTGCGCGCGTGCGCGCGTGCGCGCAACAGCGTCCAGCTGTGTGTGCATGGAGGTATGCAGACTTTCTCAGTCATCTGTTCCTCGGATGTTTGCACCGTTTGGAAGGCTTTGTCTGGAGTGAAACTCCACACCCTGACCGCGGCCGGGATGACGCTTTGACAGTGTTGTCAATATTAATGACATCACTCTGTGTTTGCTGTTTAGAGCCACTAGGCTTGAGTTCTAGTCATTTTAGAATCTCGAGATCGCCTGCTGTGCACAGGGTTGTTATGGAATCCCGGGGTGGCTTCATGAAACGCTTTGAGGTTCTTCTAACAGGCGTGTGCGTGTGTGTGTCACACAGAGGCCGGCTATGTAAGGAGAGGAAATGAAATAGTTGGAAGTTGCTGTTTGCCAACAAGACACCATTTAGGGAGTGTGCTCTCTGAACATTGTGTGTGTGTGTGTGTGTGCGCCAAACATCTCATCGCACACTTAATCCAGCTGTTCACTTAACAAAGTGTGTGTATTGTAAAACTTTGACCACTGATGTCGAGTGTTTGAGTGAAGAGAAACACAATAAATGTTAGTGAGCAATAGACTGCGGAAGTTGCACTACCAGTTTGTACTCCTCCTCCTCCTCAGCAAACCGCTCCTGTCGAGCATGAGCTCATTAGACTGCCGCCGTTTCGTAAAGGTTCTCAGCAATGGCTCTTGTATTAAGTGCCAAACCTTCATGGTGCCTCCGTGCTGAATGTTACTACCCTCAGTATGACAAATGATTAATTTACCATGTTTCAAAACATGTGGAATTTGCCTTGTCGTGATGATAAAAACAAATTGTTGAAAATAAGAGCTATCAGCTGTCAGTTTTCTGTTTGTGCTGTATAATCACAAAGCTGGTCAAGTTTCATTCCTCCGTCTCCTCCTCCCAGATCATGATTGAGTTCTGCCCCGGAGGTGCCGTGGATGCCATCATGCTGGGTAAGCCTCTTTCTGCTCTGCACCTTCCTCCTCGTCACAAGAGACATAGTTCCAAACCTGCGGCGGTGCTGGGCGACGCCTGTCCCCTGAGCAGGGACTTTAGCAGTCCTGTGTAGAGACACCAGGTCGAATAGGTGCGGCCTGTCCATGCTATCGTTTATAAGGCGCCGCTCCGTTCTTTGAATAGTCAGCATATTCGTTAAATGCATATTTGTCTACATTCTTCACCTGTCTGGCAGTCTGAGCGATGCACAAAGCAGTCAGACAAGTCCTCCCCCCCTGGTCTGTTTGTACTGTGTGATCCTCATAACGGGTCCGTGCCCCCACTGCAGCTAAACAAACACAGGCACGGTAGAATAAAGTCTGCAGGGAAAGACTTGGATGTATGAAGCTCCTCTGATCTGCGATTACCTTTCCAGCAAAACAAGCTGAGAAACCTCTGATATCATCGCAGTTCTTACCTTTCTTTTTTTTTCTTCTGTTTTCTCTTTGCGGAGTTCTCGCACTACGTCGGCCCTCGGGACTAAATGAGTAAATGTGGGCATGACAAAAGGGTTTCGACGTGTTCTCATTCCCCTGCTAACGTATGTAACCCCTCCACCCCCCCGCCCTCATCAGAGTTGGATCGAGGGCTGACGGAGCCGCAGATCAAAGTGGTGTGTCGCCAGATGCTGGAAGCTCTGGATTACCTCCACAGCATGAAGATCATCCACAGAGACCTGAAGGCTGGTAACATCCTCCTCATGCTGGATGGAGACATCAAACTGGGTGAGTGTTTAGATCTGTGTTCCTAAGGATCCCGTGGGTTCCAGGTGCTTGTACGCGGTTTACATGTAACTCGAGCGGTTCCTCGAAAGCGGGCCGCCTCGGCCCGATGGCTGCTAGTCAATGTGTCGACATCTGGCCTTTCAAAGCGCTGCCACGTTAAACAAGTTGACACATGTACAAAGTCTGAGAAACATGCCAACAGTCGTCAGAGAGCGTTCATACAATATGACCTATGACCATAGTTTTTGGGTACAATTGGTCCCGTCATTTACCAAGAAACCATTTGATTGCCAAAATGCTGGAAGAGGAAGTACTTCCCAGATGAGGGTTACAGGTTTTCCCTCATGTTTGTTCTCTTACACAATTATAGGCCTTTTATCACCTCCTGCTTTGCTGTAGGAGGAGCACAAGTTGGCCCCTGGAGGGGAAACTGCATTTTCCAGTTCATTTCCACAGCCTTACATTCCTCAGACATCACTGTTCTAATAATACCCAATTAAACGCAGTAACACGCGACGGTGATTTATTTACAGTCTGCAAACTTTGTTTGTTCTTCCACGCAGAACCGCCTGTTTGTAAACCTCTCAAGGAACCGTTCATGCTGCCGTTATCGATAACACAAGCGACTTAAAAACCGCGTACTCATGCTTTGTCCTGTGACGTTTGTCACTCGTCACATTCGGCTCCGTTGCTGACTTGGCGGTGAGCTTTTAGGCGTGTGTAGTCATTACAAAGCTTCCTGAGACACACACCCTTGGTGATTACTGAGGGGAACGTTGTTTAAACCCAGTGATACAGCCGGTTTTCCAGAATGTAGTTCTAAAGCCGACCCTTATTGGTAGGACTCTAGCTACAATGTTACCATCATTCAGGATATTCATGTTTTAACTTTTTAATTTAAATATTCTTTCTGCAGGACTTCAGCCCCAAATTGTATATTTGACTAAAGTCCAATCCCTTTGAATTGTAGTCTGCAGAAGCCAAGCTGGTCACTTAAGTACCAGGAAGAGAACGAGCCCGTTTGTAATTGAAGCAGTCGGCCTGCTGCCTCGTGAGCCAAACACGTACTATTCCAAAAAAACCATGTTCGGCCAAAGTGAAAAGGACACTCCTGTAATCGGAGGTCGGGAAATGAGGGCAGCTTGTTTGGGGAAACTTAAACGTTCTAAATGTAATGATTGGCTTTGTGTCTCAATGTAATGACGGTTTTAAAAGTTGCAAACTACAAAGGGAGAAAATAATGGATTTTTCTTTTTTCTGGTCTTCATTCTTGTAGCTGATTTCGGCGTGTCTGCAAAGAACACCAAAACGTTACAAAGAAGAGATTCTTTCATTGGAACGCCGTACTGGTAAGTAGGACACTACTCTAAATCCGAGCACGAAGGGTACGAGTGGATTAAAGTTTAGTTTTGCTTTTAATTTAAGGTATTTAATCACATTGATCCAACATCCTCTCAATGAAAACGGTCTGTCTGGAACGTACTGAAACAGCCCGCGCTATTAAAAGTAATACTCAGCAAATACTCAAATTCCAACACAAAGACCATTCCTAAGCTATATGAGGGGGGCTTATCGCTTTTTGGGAACAAAGTTCCTGCCACCCACAACACTTCCGTAATACTTAAAAAGGCATGATGTTGAATACACGCACAGAGCGCTGCAGGATGTCTTATTTTTGTAGACCAACCCTGGAAGTTATTGTTGCACTGATTTCCTGTTTAAAAAAAAAAGCAATATAATTTTAGAAGCTGGATGTTTGCATACTGCATGAAATAAGCCGGGTGGCAAACACATTTATGACTCTTATACACGAGCGCTCAGCAAGATCATCTTCAGAAAATGAACCGCTTTTATGATTTAAAAAGAACGTTTTATTTAGTAACGTTCAGCAGTCTTTTTTTGACATACTTAAAACATTGAAATTCTTAATTTAGGATATTAATTAACCGGTTTTATATTGAAGGGCAAACTTTTAATCTCTCGCGTATTAACCACAGACCTTCATTAGAAAAACGCAGGTTTTCTGATTTTAGGATTCCAGCAGCATTCTTTTCAGGCCGAAACCTCTACTTTGAATTCCTTTTGAATTCTCCACAGCACGGCTTATTCCGGCGTTCTCCCCAACTATGCAGCCAGTTACGCTTTTGACTACAACAGATCATCATCAATCAGGAAATCGATACAAGCGTGGCCGTGCCCGTCATTTTTCACCATCTTAAAAGACTATTGACTCGTTAGCAGATCAAGTAAAGCTGAGGATCCATTTCCCACCATAAAAACGGTCAAATACTTAAATAAGATGTGTTTTCTCCGTGTCAGGATGGCGCCGGAGGTGGTGATGTGCGAGACCATGAAGGACGCTCCGTACGACTACAAGGCCGACATCTGGTCTCTGGGAATTACTCTGATTGAGCTCGCCCAGATTGAGCCCCCGCACCACGAGCTCAACCCCATGAGGGTGCTGCTGAAGATCGCCAAGGCGGAGCCGCCCACCCTGGAGCAGCCGCATAAATGGTGAGCAGAGTTTTGTTCAAGTGTTTTTCTTGCAGTTATTTCCTTCATTTTGATTAATACTCGTGTCTTGTATCTACTCAAGGTCGAAAGACTTTAAAGATTTCCTGAAGAAAGCGTTGGACAAAAACCCAGAGACCCGGCCAACTATAGCTCAACTCATGGAGGTAATCTGCAATTCCAACGCTGCGAGTGTGGCACAGTGCCACACTTTGATATATATGATAGAGCATTGTCCCCACTCGGGCCTTATCTGGCTCCAACACACAAACAGGGCCCTTTTAATCTATTTTCAGAGATGAATGGAGTGATCTATGCCAGGGAAATGAGCGGTGCCCCGTAGAGGAGTGCAAGGAGAGTGTGTGTGTGTGTGTGTGTGTGTGTGTGTGTGTGTGTGTGTGTGTGTGTGTGTGTGTGTGTGTGTGTGTGTGTGTGTGTGTGTGTGTGTGTGTGTGTGTGTGTGTGTACACAGAGTGGTGGAGAAATTGAGTATGCTGAGAAGTAGAAAGACCTTGAGTGAAAGGAACAGGGAATAAACATTCAGGACAATAACAATTATTTATTTCTTGAGGCATCCTGTTGAAACATTTCATCTTAAGGGCGATGATATTTGATTTTTGTGCCAAAGATTTTAGAATGCCAGGATATTTCTAATACGAGGCGGCCCCCGCTGGACCCGAATATGAGGATCAATTATAAAAGTGCAGAGCAAGAAAAAGGGGAGAAAAGTAAACGGGGTGTGGATTAAAGCACCAGCACAGTCTATTAAAATTCAGAGCCACAGTTTCCTGTCTGTGTCCCACAGCTGAGGGAATTCCAGCTATTTACATTCCCACCCTCGGCCAATAGCATGTCTGGATTACACTCTGAGCTCGCCACCTCTGGCAAATTAGAGAGAGGCACAGCAGAAAACCCTGGACCCGGGCCCGCTGGGAACGCCGCACATGCTCTCTGGGGGGGGGGGGGAAGAGACGGGTGCGGCCCGTTTTTTGGTGCCGTGCTGGAGGTTTCAGATGTTTATTATGACTGCTGCTCCTAACGGCTGTCCGATAGGATTTCCCCGGAGATGGTTGTGCAGTGATGACATTTCAGTTTACTAGAGATCCGCCCGTGAGTCTTCTGTGAACGGTTTTAGGTCAGACCGCGTTGGTCGCTGGTGGGAATGGAAATGGAAAACGGACGTAGTGCAGGAGTGAACATGAGGATTACAATGTGTCATAGTTAAAGGGCTTCTTTTACAAAACTGATATGTGTGTGTCTGCAACTGACAACAAAGTAAATAAAAGTTTTATTTATCAGGCGTCTCTAAGGTGGGATCCAGTTGAAACACATTTGCACCACTTGCCTTGTGTCTGTCCCGCATGTGTGCTGGTAAAAAGACTTTTTTACAACACGACACTGTGGCTGGCTGGAGACCATCTGGATGACTTGTGCTCATTACACTGAAAATACCTTTTCCTCCCACCCAGTTTCTCATGTCAAGGATTTTCGACAGTGTTTTTGGTGACATCAGATGCTTTTCTGTTTCTCCACATAGTGGTTGACATCGCTTCGTACTCTTCTTGATGTCATAACTAAAGTCTGAACAGACGTCATGCATATATTTTTGGTGACCTGCACCTTTTTATTGAAGGATATTTCCAATGCACTGAAATTATTGAATCGCTTTTAACTCCAGAACCTGCATGAGAAACTGCATGTTTTGGAGTTTTCAAGTACCAAAGCAATCTGTTATTGGTTACATTGTGAACAGGTGCTGCTGTTATCTAGTTTTAAACTCTTCTCCAACAGACATTTTGACACAGTTTTCCAGTTAAAAAATAAGTTTCTGTGTGGTCTATGAATTATACTGGTATTTCAAAACTTGGGCAAATAAAAGTCATGTCAATTTCATTCATGTAGACCAAAATGACTACTTGTGTAACGCCAGAACTGCCCCGAAGTGCAACCGTAACCTCAAAGGAATTCTTAACCTCTGAGCCACCCTGTGAAGACCGACCAAAATTCCCTCCCTTTCCCAAAAATGTGCTCACTCATGGTCTAAAACTCAAATTTATCCTCAAAGGTAAAAACCACACTCGCACACACGGTTGTCAGTGGTTCACAGGTAATTCTGCCTTCATGCGGCCCCTTCGCCTGGTCCCCTAATGGGCCGTATTCTTCACATTCAACCTTTTCACGCCTAGCCAAGCGTGTAAGACCCAAAATCACAGGCTTCTTTGGACCAAAAAGCAACGTGAAACCTAAAAGCGAGGACACAGGCTCCACTGATCCATAATGGCTGTAAAAAACACATACCTCGATCTAACAGTGAAGAAATATCAGTTTCTTTTTTCTCCTTTGATAAACCCGAGCACGAGAGTTTTTAAAGGTACCTAAGTGGATAGAAAAAGAGGTGCACAGATAATATTTGATGCCTTGTATATTTAATGATATATCAATATTAGTGGTACTTCAACTCACTACTTCAATACCTAGTGACCAGCATCTGAGCCCAACTTATGTCAGCCGACGTGTGATGCAGTGCTTGAGGAAAAGCTCCTGCACTCAACAACTATCAATAAATGTGCAAACACATCACAACTCGAGCACACTTCATGGTCCAGTGACACTTTTAGGCTTTTCCCTTTTGTCAGCTGTTCTAATTAAATTACACGGTATTGCAGAGCCTCTGAATAATTGATGATCAGCTGCACTTGACTTTTAATTAATCTTTTCATTCCCCTTGCACTCAGCTTATTAGTGCCCTGTTTGCACTCTTGTTAAAGGGCAGGTGGTAGAGTTTCCCCTGCGGGGGAAGTCTCCCAAGTTTATGTATCTGATAGTACTTTATGTTCAGTATCAGTCGAACTCTGGAGCAATAGTCTTGTGGTTTAATGACATTTGCATCCATGGAACTTTGGCTCAAGCTAAAATTGTTTACTTTTTTCCGAGCTGATTGATAGTCAGAATTTGATGCATGAATTGTGATGAAACGAGTTGTGTTCAGGTGATTTAAGCACAGGTGACCGTGTATTCAAACTGATAATGGATTGATCTCACATCTGTCCAATATCCACAGCACCCCTTCGTGAAATCGGTGACGTCTAACCGTCCGCTGCGGGAGCTGGTGGCCGAGGCCAAGGCGGAGGTCATGGAGGAAATCGAGGACAATAGGGAGGAAGGCGAGGAGGACAACACCATGGAGCTTTCTGTGGTACCAAATGTCAACTTTTTTTACCCTTCTTTTCTGTCCATTCATTTTCTCTTCCATCGGTTTGTCTCCGCAAGGAGACCTGGAAGTCCGTGTGTTGCGTTTTTGTGTAAGTGCGCACACTTGCAGGGACTCTAACTTTTACAAAACAAATCTGACAAATATGAATTGGTAGCTTTATTTGAGTATTTCTGAAACATTTATTCATATAATCAAAGTTATGCGTTGGCCTGCACCGTTTACACTTCCCCTGCTTTTGTAGCATTTGCTTGTCGACCACTCTGAGCGAACATGGGCTTCCTGCCAAACAACTAAAGGTCCATTCTGCAGAAGCCCTCCCCAAAAGGCACAAGATTAGAGACTAGAAAGTGACATGCGAAAGTGAAGTTTACCTCCTGCCGTCTGCACAAACAACGGACCGGAAACCGGCGTGCTGGCGTTCACCCACACACGTTTAAAAATAGGTGCTGCTCACGTCCTCGATCCTGCGCAGAACCTGTGATGCAGTAAATTCCTGAAGCTTTCTCATTGTTCTGTTCTGCACTGTGTGTAAGACGAAGTATTCTTTGCAGTTTTAGTCTTCTGGGTTTACAGAAAACACTCGACCCGACTATTTTCCCGTGTTTGGTTAACCGGAAACTGGTGCCGCGCCGTTATCTGAACACTAATCTCTCCCTATATATCATACGCGGCCGGACCGCTGTGTTTGCAGAGTCATTAGGAAGGCGGAGTCCAGCCATAAAGATGTCTGATGGGATTGTTTTCCTCCTGAGTGGAATATTTCGAGAAGTGGAATTGCTCCGTTTGATGGCTGCGCGCATAATTCAGAAATAACTCTTTCAGCGGTGTTTACAACTCCAGACCATATCATTCACATGTGTCTGTCGCACGGCTGGAACCTTCTGTGCAAGCGGCCTCTTTCAGAGGATTTCAATTATCGCTGCAGAAACACTATACTGATGTTTTATGGCATATTAGTCAATGATGATAGTGATTCTGGCTTGGATTTCCAATTTGATTATCAGCTACTTAATTTTGCCACACATAATTCTTGGTAATGGATATCCTTTGATTCCTTTTGACATCAAAAGCAGTTGTATTTAAAAGAGTTTTTAGTTTTCATGATGCCCGAATAGCATTTGAGTATTTCTCAAAATAAATGGAGACTTCATTATTTATTACAGCATAAACTCTGGAGCAGTTGGTCACACTGAGCAGCCTGCTACGCTTCACAGTAACTTTCCTGTTGAATATATTTACCCAAATACATTATCTCACTCAGTTCAATCTCAGAGGAACCTAAACATTCGATAGACCACCAACGACTTATTGCATCAAATGTTTAGTGACACGAGCGCATAATTAACTTATTCCTCATTCCTCAAGGCCTCGGGAAAGGAACCATGCCAGACTAGTGAGACCAGTTTGGAAGGAGAGCAGACTGGGGACACGCCGAGCCCAACCACGGCCACCCCGACGCCGCTACCCAGGAAGGGGGCTGAGTGGCAGCCGGGCCCCATCGCGGTGGTCCCTGTTCCTCTACCACGGCACCTCCCTGCAGGGGATCCAGGGGAGTTGAACGACAAGCTGACCGACGAAGTCCTCAATGAGTCCGAGAAATCTGAGAGCGAGGCCTCGACCAAGACCTCCAACTCCGATTCGGGCATTGAGGACGGGAAGAGTACCCCCACATCGGAGGAGAAGGTGCCCTTACACGCTTCATATTTAGAAAATTAAATTGTATTCGATGTGGTGTAATCAATTGTGCGATTGAAATGATTCTTAAGGTTGCCGTGGGGACCCCAGATGAGGATCAGCTGCCATCAGGTCTCCAGCGGGAAGCTTCTGAGGAAGACGTGGACATCATCATCATACAGTCGACTGACCCGGAGGCGCCGCCGGTCCAGGCGGCCGAGGAGGTGGAGGAGGAGGAGGAGGAGGAGGGCAAAGCCATTCCCGCTGAAGGCTTACCGACTCCGGGCCCGAGTCCCAGTGTCACTCCTGCAGCCGCTCCCGCGCCCTCCGCTGCTCCCACCCCAGTGGATGCACGTCGGTCGGAGGCAAATGGTGGCCCAATGAAGCGCACCCCAGAGCGGGCGTCGACGGGAGAGAACGGGGTGTCTCCTTATATCACCGGGGGGATTATAAACAATCGGTTCTCGTATTCAGGCAGCGTGGCGTCAGAGAGCATGGACATGTCATCAAGGGTAAGTCTATAAATGTTCCATTTTTTGGGGGGGGGGGTTCCTGATTGAAATGCACACGATGACATTTGGACTCGGCCTGTATTTATTAAGTGTTGCTTTGAGGGGAAATGGACACGTAGCTCGTTGCCTCTGTAGGAAAACCCCCTCCTTGGAAAAACGTTCTCAGCACCCACAGAGGAACTGAAACTGCATTGTGTTGTGTTTAGGGGCGTGTGGGTGTTAACGATCCGAAACAGAGGGCAGCCTGTCTTGCATCAGGCTTTCACTACATCACATTTAAGGAAGCTGTGGAGGAACATGCTAGTTCATGCTCTTAAACATGATTTCTGAATATGGATTTAGCTTTCTCATAATGCATTTTTGACAAACACCTAATAAAAAAGGAGATTTTATTCTAATCCGTAGACTACATGACCATCACTTGATTGTCTTTGGACCCAGTGAGATGGAAGCTGAGAAGACCGGGACCATTTTATCATTCATCCCCAAGTCTGTCTGCAAAATATGCAACATTTTCCATTCATCATGACCCTTTTCTGTCGGCGCAGTCTGGCGTTCGCTGGCGTCAGGAGCAGCTTCTAAGCCGCTCATTGTCTCGCCGTTGATGAAAATCCTATCTGCTGCGCGCTTTAAGCCGTGTCCGTTTTGAGGCCTGTCGAGGTTTTCAGGAACAGATTATTCAGCGGCAACCTGGGGAGCGAGAAAGATTGTCCTACCTGTTTGATCCATGGCCGGGAGGCTGCGAGCACTCGTGTGATTGAGAGCATCAGATGGGTTCATGTGTGCGCAGGGGAGGCTGCGTGGGTTTTTCTGATCGCTGCTTTTGTAAAAGTGTCAGTTGTGAAGAAAGGGAATCGACACCAGAGGAGCATCCTGTTCAAGGCGACGCCCTTGTATGTTGTCTATTTGCTCAGCTGTGGATGGACGACTGTGGGACAAAAACCAAATGAATCCCATTGTTTCGGTTCAGTTTCCTCCTCACCTCTTTACTATTCAACAAGTACAAATGATGACAACCGGTTATTAAGCGAGCCAATGTTTGCAGGGTAAACCCGGTCATATCAGCTTTGTAAATATTGTCCGTAGAGGTTTAGATAGAGGACACGGGCTTCGTTAGATACGATTATTCTCTCTTCAGTTATAAGATGGGTTCCCGCTCCGACTCGTACTAAACATGTATCATATATCGACATTGATTCACTGGTTCAAACTATAAGGGAGTTTATTCAACTTTGATCGAGCAGCAAAAAAAAAAAAAAACTTCTCGCGCCTGTTGTTGGCACAACAAATGTCCGAAATGGGCTGATTGTGTTTTGGTTAAAGCTCAAATGGGACTTTTCGGATAAAAGTGTAAACCTTCGACGAAGTCGGCCCTCACCCAGCATTGTTGTGAGGAGCGGAAGAAGCCGGGGCACTTTATCGTGTTTATTGGTTGTGGTTACTTCCTGCCCGGCACGCTCCATTAAAGTGACAGATGGAGCATCCTGCTGCTTGCGAAAGCAGAACCAGATCAACAGGAATATCGATGCTTTTGTCAGCACACCAACGCAGCGACTTCTTCTCCTGGATTAAAAAGAGAAACTCCTACAGCTTAAAATATGAATTGCTTTATGTAGCGTCACAAGTTTATAAATACAAAATGAATCTGAATGCAGTTCCCACACTTTGATGCCCAGCATGTCTCAACACTTACCAACTGTCAACCGAACTGGGACAATAGACACCTGGCAGAGTTTCAGTGCGTCCTATAACACATATAGAGCAATGACACACAATGCAAACAAACATTTTTCTTGTACTTAAAGTCTGATTTAATTTAAAGATGATGATTTTTTTTCTCTGACCAATTGATTCTGTCCGTCCGTCTCTCAGGACTTCTCAAGTAAGACTCTAAAGCGAACCAGGAAGTTTCTTATTGACGGCGTGGAGGTGAGCGTGACCACCTCCAAAATCATTCGGGATGATGAGAAGAAAGATGAGGAGATGAGATTCCTGAGGTATGTGCATCTCTCGCTTTAACCCTCATTCTGTTTCTGTTTTCGTTCTCTGGTGATGTCACCCCCATGTGCTCGTGTGTTCAGCGATACTGCGTGTGCCCTGGTGGCGGTTGCTTGGTACCGCACGTGCTATTTTAGAAATCCTGAACTTTTGGGCTTTGTACCCTTAAGACAGCGTTATGAAAAAAGCCTAATGTCTATCAATACAAAAGAAGAAGAGACACATGAATGTCTCTAAAGTTACTTTAGGTGAAGACTGAGTTGACTGTATTTTGGGTCTAGATGTTCAAATAGAAAGAGCAATACGGATGTATAATTTGTTGCTGGATTTCTTTTGTAGAGTTACAACCTTGTGAACACATTTACTGTCTCAAGCATTCACAAGGAGCTCACAAAGTGCATACTTGTGCCACCTAGTGGTTGGAATATGACATTGCAAGTGACCGGTCACATTGGGGAGTGACTGCTGTGCCCCTTTCATGGCTGAGCAAAAAATAACCTCATATTTTTTTTCCACAGTATTAACTTAAACATCATAATTAATTGAGTGTCTTGTCATAAAACTAATTTTAACTTCATCCAATTTAATGCTCTTTTTTTTTTTTTTTTTGCGTGTGTGTATAAATGCTGCTGCATTGACAAAGTATCTGTCAAAACTCGTGCATAAAATATTGGCGTATATGAGACGGTAAAGTCTGTCTGCGTGTGTTTAAGGCGCCAAGAGCTGCGGGAGCTGCGTTACCTGCAGAAGGACGAGCAGCGTGCTCAGGCTGCTCTGAACGCCAAGCTGGAAACACAGAGAGAACAAATGCAGAGACGCAATGACCAGGACATGAATGTGAGTCAGTTCATATTTCATATACATTACACAAAGGCTTTAATTGGCGCTAAATGTATTTATCAAAATTCTATCTTAAGTCGTGATTGTTTAGTATGCGTTTGCCAACATTGTGCTTGTTTCCTCTGGTTGGTCACAGACCAAGAAAAAGCACTACGATGTGGAGCTGGAGACCCTGGAAAAGAACCAAAAGCAAACCATTGAGAAGATGGAAAGTGATCACCATATTAAACTCAAGGAAGAGACCAGACGCATCAAAGCCGAACAGGAGCGCGCCCTCCAGAAGTTTCAGGAGGGTTTAAAACAAAAGAAAAAGGAGGTACATGGAAGAATAGTTTGTGGGGGATGCTTTCAGTGTTCAGTCTAAAAAGACATGGAAGTAACAGTTTTTTCCCATCTTGGTTTACTCCGCTTGCCTCCTTGTGTAAGTGTGTTAAAATCATGTCAACAAATGTCTCTTCTTTTCATATATTTAGGTAAAACATTCTGTTGATAAGCTGCCCAGGAGTGAGCGGAAAGAATCCCTGAAGATGAGGATGAACTCCTTCCAAGAATCAAAGACTAAGGATGTATGTTTTTTTTGGACTAAATGTATTTTTATGCTACACTAGTTTAGACATTTATTAAGAAAAAAAGTTACAGAAAACTGATCATATCACCTACACAAAAAGGTTCAACAATCAGTCGGTACGTTGTGGGGAGTAAAGAGCCCACTGCTGCAGTTGTAGTGTTTTTTTTTTTCGTTTTTTTTCTGCCAATTGTTCACTTTCTTTCTTTTTTTTTAATTTTTTTTTTTTTTTAACTGTAGGAGGAGAAATTCTTGGCAGGTCAGAAGAACCACATGGACACAACGATAAGCAGAATCATCTCTAGCAACAAGAAAGAGATTGCAGAAACGGAGAGGCAATGCCTTGAGAGGAAACAGCAGCTAATCAGAGGTACATGTGTTGATTTATATCAAATGCACCAACAAATCCACATAAACAGTGATTTATGAAGGAGTCTTCGATGAGGATGTGTTGCCTCATGCATACTTTAGAGCTGCCCTTGCTACACATGGGTGAATAGAGTAAAACATATTAGGTGGGGCCAATTTATACAAGATTTGTATAGTATTTAGTATCAAATGCACAATGATTTCAAGATAATATACCAATATTAACATTTGATTGCATATCTGATTTGCATTGCTGCCACCATGTAAATGATCAAGTAATAGTTTCCCTATTTGGAGAGCACTTTAAAGGCTTTAGATTCAGCGAATTTCATGTGTCTGAATCTTAAAAATATATATATATTCATTGGATAAAAGCAAAAATCAGATTTATTTAATGAACCCCGGAATTGACTTTCCTTGTGTCGCCTCCTCACTTTGATCAGAGCGTGAAGCGACCGTGTGGGACATGGAGGAGAAGAACCTTTACGAAAGACACCAGTTATTGAAGCAGCAGTTGAAAGACCAGTACTTCCTGCAGAGGCACCAGCTCCTCAAAAAGCACGAGAAGGTACATTTACAATTGTAGATTTTATCATTTCGCATTAGCTTAAATTAGTTAAAGCTTCCGTTTTTTTAAAGTCGTGTTTGTTACACGGTGTGAGCGGGGTCAAAGTGTGTTCTCCCATCTCCCCTGCAAACACATGAAGTTCATCCACCTTCTGCGTCAACAGGAACAAGAGCAGATGCAGTGCTACAATCAGCGCATGATTGAGATCCTGAAAGCTCGGCAGCAGCAGGAGAAGAACCGGCAGCCAAAGATCCAGCGCGGAGAGGCGAAGACCCGCATGGCCATGTTCAAGAAAAGCCTGCGCATCAACTCAACGGGCAGCTCCTCGGAGGACCGAGAGAAGATCAAGCAGGTGGGGCCCCGGCGAGGGCTTCGCTCTCACCACACGTCGGAGCAAGAAGGGAATCGGTCGATAACGCGCTCCCTTTGTGTCTCGTTTAGTTCTCCGTGCAGGAGGACAAGCGGCAGAAGGCCGAGAGGCTTCATCTGCAGCAGAAGCACGAGAGCCAGATGAGAGATATGATCGGCCGGTGTGACAGTAACATCAGAGAGCTGCAGCATTTACAGGTGAGTGAGGGCCACGGCCTCCTCATGTTTCACATTCTAGATCATGTGGTTTGTTTCAACGTGGCAATGCCCTGCAATTTTGTACAAGAGCTTTTTTTTTTTTTTTTGTGTGCTTCAGAATGAAAAATGTCACATGTTGGTTGAGAATGAGACTCTGAGACTGAAGCAATTGGATGAAACGCACAACCAGCTGATGAAGGACTGGAGGGACCAACTGAAACCCAGAAAGAAGGTACCAGTTTCATGTCGGGAGTTTTGTAAAATGTGCTCGAATGAATGAAAGAGGTATTTTTCACAAATTAAAACATGTCTTTTTATTTATATTTTACAAAAACAACTCATTACCTGACTATAGGCGGTTTACCCAGTTGACCAAATTCAATACAGTTTGCATAATACTAAAACACGCTCTGATAGTTGATCCTGTTTTGGAACGGGAATATTCCATCTGTATGGCAAGAAATGTAAAACTAGTTTGCTTGGTAAAATAATTTAATCTGTACTCTGGTTTCCACCCCCCTCCCTCTAGACCCTTGAAGATGAGTTAAACATGAAGAAAAGGGAACAGGAGGCTTTCTTTAACATGGGTGGGAATTCGGATTGCCCGAACCCAAGTTCTCCCAACAGACTCTCCAAGTTCGTGCCGTACCAAGACTCTTCCACAACATAAAAACATCCTCTGTGGCTCCACCCACCGAACCAGTTCTCCCACTGGCGTTATCAGCTTTAATTTGCTTTACCTGTGAAGGCAGCATACCTATCCCTCCATTGGGTCCTTTTTTAAAATCATTTTAGTGAATATTTATGGTTTTACAAAAAAGTTTTCGATGGATTTAAAACTCATGTGCTTTGCATGACCAGATTCAGATTACATCCGCTCCCGGACGAACCACGGCGGTAATATAATCCAGTGGCGTTGAGTTGACGATGCCAAAACTGATGGGAACAATTTATTTTTGCAGAGCAAGGAATGTTTGTTCGTATGAGCACTGGTGAGCCCGTACATACGCACTTTTCCTTTAACTATCACTGCCATCCTCCAAATATTATGGCCTGCGACGCACCCACAATTTGACCATTTTCTTTCCACGTTTCTGAATGCCTTGGATCACTGACCCGTTTGGTCCCTAAGTTGTATAGCAGCATATTGTATTTATTTTTCACTGACCAAGAACAACCATCACTGTAAATGCTTTGTATTGTCTTTTGTAATGGGGGATTAGGGTAAATCAAGATACAAGTTTGTTTCTTTTTCTGATTACTTGGATATACATTTTTTTTAATTCTCATTGCTATTCATAGCGTGTTGCTATTGTGGCATTTGTTTTTTTGTGTTGTAATTTTACTGTAACTTCACTCACACTGGATGGGAACCGATGAAGCCAAAGCAAAATCTTTGTTCTTTGAAAGAGGTTGGATAGGGGATTTAAATTAAGACATTTACCAAGTGTAAATTTATTATGTGCAGTAAATGGACTGCCTGCAAACCAAAGTGCAATAATACATGTATGTCTTTGCTAAGCTTAAAGAGCTTTATTTTTCTTAGCACTAAGAGGGGGAATTATATGATGGTTTAACTTAATAGATTTAAAAAAACTTTTTTTCTTATTTTTCAAAGAGTTACAAATTAATATTTTGAAAGAGATTTCCTTTTTTTTTTTTAAATCATCTGATTTTATAACCAAACTCTTCATATCATGTCATGGGAGTGTTACAATTCAGCCTGATGTAAGATGGCTGTAGGTGTTGAATCTTAAGTTCCTCAGTGGAAAGGTTTAGGTTTTTTTTTTTTTTTTTAATTGGCCTGAAGATTCAAATTGAACCAGGTCAGTAATCAGGTACAGTTTTATATCTCTTCCTCTCATACATTTTCTAAGAAGTATTTAGATTAGTTGTAAAGATTCTCTTTTGTCATTTTTAATGGAATCATGAATGCCTTCCTGTCTGCCTCAGTTTACATGATATTGTTTGTATGGGAGGGGGTGTGAATGAAACTGTAAAAGAAGGAAAACCACTGGTGTACATTTTCTCAATAAAGGCAGATTTTCTAATTAATATATTTTGGCGCAGGCTCTGAGTATTTGCGTTTGCTTTCTGAAATTAAACGACTGATTCAAGATCGAGTCATTGTGTGCAGATCAACTGTCGGGACATGTGGGAAACCTAAAGCTATACTCAAAAAGCATACATATACAATTGACCTTTTTTATAATATCTGGGTAGATTACGCTTATCTGATGCATAGACCATCAAGTCTAGCTAACATGACTGCGCATGAGATTAACAGGAAACAGGCAGCCATATTTTAAAAGCGAATCGTTAAGTTCTTTGACTTACTAAATTTGTATCAAAAGCAAACTATTTTTCAGAAAAGCTAATATTGTAAATTTGTTATAAATGGGCAAATTGTATATGTAAAAAAAAAAATAATCTGGAAAATATTGATTGGTGCAAAACAAATACTTTTACAATGAGACAGTAGGACAGGCGTCCTGAGAAATCAGAAATGTTTATTGATTTAAGGAAAATGAGCTTCTATGCAATGAAAAATACAGAATAAAAAAGTAAATAAGACTACAATACTGAAATGACGCCATAATATATTTGCCTTACACTGTACTGAACCATCCTGCGTTTGACCTCGTAAAATAATCCTCAACAATACAGATGATTCTTTAATTGTTAACCTGGGTGGAAAATGGGATTATAATAAAGCAACTAGAAGCAGTGTAACAGCTTGTAGTCTTGTCTGGTTGTTAAGAGCCATGGTTGCACATTTCTTTCATCTCGACAAAAAGAAACAACCCAAACCTCCTGTATTAACTCCAATTAGCAAATCCTGTTAACCAACCCAGTTAATTGTTGCTCTTCCTTCCTCTAATCCCCCAAATCAGTACAGTGTAAAACACCTGATGGCCCATCAAAGAAAAAGTGACAACAGCTAAGATATGCCTTTTCATTTCTGTACAATAAAAAAAAAATCATTTGCTATACTTGAGACCAGTCAAGCATGATGCAAAATATTAGTTTTTTTTTTTTTTACAATGTTCATACTTTGATGTTATTTGAGCACCAAACTTTGGCGAAGAACAAACTGTACACGTGCAACACTGTACGTGATTGCACAAATCACTGAATATCATCAACCTTTTACTTTTTCTAGACATTTGGTACCGATATGCAGAAGTGCTCTGCAGCTCACACTTTAAACGTATCACTGTTTGGGTGCGATTTTAACATGATAGCGTTCAAATACTGAATCCAGAGCGCTTGTTTTCAACTTGTCTGCTCGGCTGTTCAAGCCTCATCGTGGATCATTTGTACAGCGAATATTAAACATTTAAGGAATAAAATGCACTGTAGCATTCTTCCCCTTCCACATGTGCAAACCTTCTCAACTGAAACTACGGTAAAAAAGGAGCACAGCATTAATTACGCAGTCAAAGAAAAGCATCACAATAGCACTGAAACTGATATGCATGTCTCTCGCTTAACAAAACACTTTTACTTGGCACAGACAGACCCTGGTGATTGCTAATAGCTCTTAAGCCCAGATGTGGTCTGTGAACTCCACATGTGCAGTCTTTGTCTCCCGCAGGATTTTAGTGTTGATTCCAACAATGGCTACATCTACTGTTGCATATAGAGCACGTTAGCACTTAGCGTATAATATAGAGGCACGGTATAATAGAAGGCATAGGCGGAGACGCACTTATTGCAAGACGGACACAAGCTGCGGCATATGGCAACGAAAGGAAAGCACTTTTTATGTTTATTTGAGATATAAAAGAAAACATAGAAAAAGGTAAACAAGGTCTTGTGGTATTGCTGGTTCGGTTTAGGTCGAATATTCTTATCAAAATGCAACATAACAAAAAACGTGTCGCTTTAAACGAAAGGTACCCTTAAAGAAATGCTAATTAGCTACAAAGCAGTGATATTTTGTTCATTTAAAACATAAGTTTGCTCATTTCGTTCGTAGGGCCACAATCTGGGGAGCACATTCTGCCTAAGCTCTCTTGTTCAGGTAATTTGAGGGGATCCAGCTCTCAACTTCTAGTCCTACGTTCTTACAGAACCACCAGCCGCTGCTGTTTTTCTCCAGCACCTCGAACACCGTGCCCACCTTGAAGCTGGACGACTGGTCGTCCCCGTCGAAATCCGCCACGGCCAAATACAGATCGTCCTTGCTGCGCTCCAGGAGCAGCGGCGGAAGCTTGTCCTTGGGCGGGCCCGGCTTCTCACCCTTCAGCTGCGGCTTGGGAGGAAGCGGCACTTTATTCGTCTTGGGCTCTTCTCTTTCTCTGTTGGCAACAAACCCTTTGGGTTTAGGGGGAGGCGGTCTGCTGAGTTGGCTCGGCGGACCCTTGGACACATCCAGGATATCTTTCAGGGCGACTTGAGGTTTAAACTCGGTCGGGCTCGATGGGTCGGTCTTCTTCGGAGGAGGCGGTCTCCTTGGAACCATGCTGGGGGGCCTCTGCGGGGGTTCTTTGTGCGGAGGCACCGCTGGTTTGGCAGAAGCGGGCGGTGAGCTCTCGCGGCTGTGACCGTTGACGGGTTTCGGGGGTAGTTTTGGCTCGTCGCAGTGCCTGCCGTTGTTGAGAGCGGGGATGTGGAAGGGGGGGGCGCACGGGGGGGCGCTGGGGTGGGGGCTCGTCGCTGCCGCCGAGGTGCCATTCTGATGGCTGACCTCTGCGGACGCGCAGCTGGGATCCGCGGGTTTCGCCGGCCTCAGCTTGCTCCTGAGGTTGGTGATGTCCAGTTTGTTCTCGGCCGGAGGATCCGGCTTGGTGGCCGGAAGCGGTTTGGGTCGGACCACCGGCTTCGGCTTCGTAAACACCGCCGGGCCGGCTGCCTCTGGTTTCTCCTCCTGCGCTTCGGATTTTGGTCTCGGCGGTACGGGTTTCAGACTGAACTTTTTCACCTCTTTGGCGGAGATCTTGTGGCCACACTCCAGACCCATCTCATTGCGAAGGAGAAGGGCTTTGCTCTTATCTTCTTTCTTGGCCTCCGGTGGTTTGTCCTGTTTGAAGGGGGCCGCTTTGGGTGGAACCAGCGGCACGATGACCCCGGGAGCGGGGGGCTTAGGAGGCAAAGGTTTGGAATGATCAGCTCTTGGTTTCTCAGATACGTCCAACTCGAAGCCCTTATTAATGGACTCCCTTCGAGGCGGAAGAGCGGGTTTCTCCTCGCCTGGGGGGGCTGCTGGAGCAGGAGGTAGAGGCCCAGGGATGGAGGGAGGCCCCTTGTTGGCGCTGGACTTCCAATCTCTCAGCTTAGGCCGGGCACAGGAGTCGAGGGCTGCGATTGGCTCATCTGGTAAAGGTTTGGACCAGCTGTCGTCGGTCACGGAAGGATTTGAAGGTCCGCCATCTTCCAGTCTCAGCTTCTCCATCTCGTCGGGCAAAGGGGCCAGGAAATTGGGTCGCAGGGCATTGCTGGTCTTCTTGTACTTGTCAATGAAGGTGGCAGGGGCCCAGCCCTCTTTGTCATCTATCTGGATGTACCACCACCCGCCATTATTCTTCTCAACCACCTGGTAAGTGAAAAACATTTTCATTGTCTCAGATTTTTCGGTGAAAAAGATTAATTAAAATGAATGGTCAAAACGGTTATTTCAACAAATACGTTTAACTAAAATCTTTATTTTAATACAACTTTGGCAAGTGCCTGACCCACCTCCACTTTGAGTCCGGCTTGGAAGCTTATTCCATCGGGGATGGTGGTCTGGAAGTCTGCTATTGTGTAGAACTCCTCCTCGACTTGAGGAGGAATCGGCGGCTTGGGTAAGTTTGTACCGCGTGGCTGGGGAACGTGAGATGGGCACAGGAATGTTAACTTAGCAAAAAAAATAAAATAAAGGAATGGTGAGCATTTCACCAATGCGAAACAAATCGGCTCATATAGATAAGTGCATCGCTTACAATCGTAAGGTCTCTGCGAGGAGGAGGTCGGTGTCTTGCTCCCACTTCTGTGGAGGGATGGGACGTTAAATAATCAGTTATTTTCCTCTCATGAAAAGAGTAAAAGGCATTTATGTTATTTCAAATTCACTCCCTACTTTTTTCAGAGAAAAACGAGAGCCTGTTTTCTTTTTGGCTGTTTTCTCGGTTCTCCTTGGCCGCGTTGTTCTGCTGGTTCTGTTTAGAGAACCCGTCGAGGTCATTGGCACTGGCGTGAGCAGCAGCGCCTGCTAGCGGCTTCTGGCCCTGGATGTCGGTCTTCTTCAGGTAGGAGGCCGGAGCCCAGCCCTCGCAGCCCTGGTACCTGAGTGGGGGGGGTGAGAGGTCAAATCTCTGCAGTGGGAATGATACCTGTACTCAGTTTTTTCCGTCAAATAAGTATTTTCTCCATCAGTATCTAAGATCCAATGTTTTTAAGCAAATAGTTTTTTTTGTTTTAGTGATTGATGGAGTTACCTGATCTTCCACCAGCCCTCCAGGTTCTTCTGAATCACCTCTACCACCATGCCTCGCTCAATGTCGATCTCATCGGGGTCCCTGGCCGCGTACGGGTAAATCACTGAATACTTCTCTTCTGGAGTCATATAAAGAACATATTGTTAGATAAAAAAAACAAACAGTAGCAGCTTTGAAGATTATTGTTTATAATAGAATAATAAAATGTACAGTTGTAGAAATTAACGTGAATGTGGAGTAATGGCATGGGAGACCCAGAGTGGCACACTTAGATTGCTTGAAGCATTTCAAAATAACCTTTTGTGTCATAATAAAGGGGAGGCATTTGTTACTGGTTAAGAGTAAAAGAAGATGCACACGGCACAATTATAAATGTGCAGATTCGCCCCCATAGGGTGTGTATCCCTTTAAAACATGGAACACTCTTCTAAAATATAATACAATATATGCAATACAGTCTTTCTGGACTTGGTCTGACTGAGAGATGCTACTTTGATGCTTTTTGTTGTCTCGGTTTCTTTGTAAGCATCAAGCTTCGATTGCTAGCTCCTGAAATGTGCCGAGCGTGCACAAATCTTGGCAAAATTTGGATTGAATATTTTTGGTAACTCTTTTAAATGTCAGAGGGTTTAACAGGTTTGCAACGCTTGAGCAGCATCTTGTGGAGTGAGAGGGTACAGTACACAAAGAAGACATTTGTTAGGTCGATAAATGTCAGGGAAATAAAAGTCAAATAAATATAGTATTTATACAGTATAAAAAGTTTGGGGAAAAAAAGTCAACGATATTAGGCAATATATGTTGTAATATATGTAAGAAACAAAACCGAAAAAATGTTTTGAGAAGAAATTCCAAATATGTCAGGTCGAAAAATGTTTTTAAAAAAGTAAATATTTGTTAAATCACAGTCAAAGTCAAAATACCGTAGGCCAAAAATGTTGGGAAAAAAGTGGCAACATATTTGGCCAATTTTTTTTTGTTAAAAAAAGTCGAAAAATAATAAGTGTCAATAAATCAGTCATTAACTCACCATCCATGTTGCGTGCAATGATTTAAGTTACATGCTCGGACTTCTCATCTGTCAAACATTCCATGCGCAAATGTGCACTAACAAACATGCATACAGCTCCGTATGTGCACACACGCACACACACACACACACACACACACATTGAGAAAAGAGGGAGAAGAGAGGCATGCGCTCCACCTTGCCCAAAGCCTGTGCTGAACAGATCCCCTAAAGTTCTTCGACGACCAAAGTGCCTCGGCAGTGACCAGAATCTGCGCGGCACTGCCATCCCAGCACAGTAAGTGGGGAAGATAGGAAGTGGATGTTACATATTCCATCTGGACAAGGTTTTTTTTTTTTTTTATCCTAACTGAATAGCAGTTTTGGTGGATCTTTATGTGCCCTTCTCCCATTACAGCATCTTTCAACATCTGCATTTATGGAATCTCCGCCTTAGTATGCCAGTATATCTATAATTGCAGTTTTTTAACCACATTGGATCGCTGCTGCCTAGAGGAAACACACACCAGTAGAATATACCTCAAAAGGCAAGGTCCAGTAAAGACAACGCTAAAGTGCTTTAAACTTAAACGATTTGCTTGCATGAATAGGTTTAGGTGAACACAACTAGCTTGAAACACCCGCACCGGTTGGCCGTCATCAACTCACCAGAACAAACAACGTTTTGGTCACATGCACACGTTATTTATGAGTTTGAATGTCTGGTATATGCTACGAGGGTCAAATGCTGCATGCCAAATGACATGGCGCTGTGCACGGTGTGTGTAGCACTGGTGTGTAGACATGATTGGAAAGGCCGCAGCACAAAATTGCATGGAAGAACAATTTAACTTCTACCGATTCAAATGGGAAGGCACATACAGCTGGGTAAATGCTACATGGCCTCTTGTATATGGATTTCTCATAAGCAGCCAGGTGGAAAAATCGTTGTACCTTCTTCCCCTGGAATGGAGAAGTCATCAGGGTCATCCTGAGCCTCCAGGCAGGTGGCCGGGACCCAGCCCTGGGCATCGTCTGAGCTAATAAACCACCACCCTAAATAAGAAAGACGTCTCCATTAAAATCAATTCAGTCGACTAAAAGGAAAAGAAATGCACAAGTCCGTCTACAGCTTCCTCATTATTCCGCACCATCTCGGTCAAAGACACGCGAAACGATGGGGGTAGAAACAATGAAAGAGCCCAGCGGGGAGTGAACGGAACTCACCAGATTCATTTTTCTCAATGACCTCCACCACCTGACCCACGTGCAGGCTGACCTCGGAGCTCTCCGCCTTCTCGTAGTCGGTCACTGCCACATACTGGTCGAGGAAGAGCGGGTCTGCTGAGGTGGAGTCTCCTGTTGAACACGAGCTCATTCAGCTTTTTTTTGTCCCACCTGCTCTTTGTCAGGCGGGCTGTGGGTGAAATCTCAATAGTGTAAAAAGCCTCTACTCACTTTTCTGTGAGGGTCTTTGCCGATATTTGTTAATGGGATTATCAAATGAATGTCCATGAACGTGGACTCTGTATGGCTTTGAGACGTTGACCTTTTAAATGCCCTCGCTCTCACAGACGGAAGCAAAACTGACCTTTTTAAAAAGGTCAGATTTTATTTTCACTTAAAGCCACTTGACTAGAAAGCCAATTTAATCACAGCCTTTACAAAGCAGCCAAAATGCATTTAGTAACGGAAAAGTCATTATTTGGCAAAAGTGATTCCACTTCAACAAAAATGAAAGCGAGAGGCTTATCTCGAGTACGGAGATCCACCCACAGATGAAGCGCAGGAAGGAAGCGGATGTGATTGGAGACGAAATGAGAGATTTGGAGAATGGGAGTGAAGGCGGTTACGTCAAATCATCCACATGGCCGCGACTTCCACACGAAAACAAAATCAGCACCACGAAGACCCGCCACCAGTGTTAGCACGGAGGAACCCCAGGAAACATCTATGTTAACACTCGACGGCCCACGAGACAACCAGTGGCACAGACGCACGCCGCTGTGGCTCATTTCTCCTGATGCTCAGACGTGTGACGGCGAATCGCTGCCGTTTCGTTTCTGCGTCCCGAACCCCAACGTACTTCAATACGACCAAGAAATGAGCCGGACAGGAAGCGGATGAAGGAGATCACCAATACAGAGTGGGTCCTTTGCGGGACCAACGTAAACGCCCCCCCCCTCCCCCAAGCCCTGAACACAGCCCCATCCCACCTGCCCAGGCCAGGGTAGGAAGGGGAGGGGGTTGGTGGGGGTTTCAGGCCCCTAGTGACCCGCTGGGTAACACACACACAGCACGACCAAGGGTTTACTACCTCGCTTTAGGAAAGTAGTCGCTCTCTCCACAACCCCTAATGGAAAGGAAAACAACTTAAGAATTTTAGACGGGTGAAGAGAAACAGTGAAACGAAGGCAAAGGTGGTTTTGGATAAATGCAATAATGTGGTGACTCTGGGGAAAAACATTTGAGTCATTCGAGTTCAGACAGAACGCGCCTGTGGCGTCAATTGTGACCACTAGATGGAGACAACGTTGCACTATTTCTATTTCTCCTCCACACTTTCAATTTAATGACAAAACGCCGTGAGCAGTGCCAACTAGACCCGTTTCCACTTCTGCTACACAAAGAAAAGCTCTCTTACCTGGTTTCTTCTTTCCGATAGGCTCCCTGTTAAAGAAAAGAATCATTACGTTACACAAAGGAGATAAAAAAAATCAGAATGCATTTACTTTATTAGACTACTGATATTATCACCAGTAGCGTTGCTGCGGAAGTTGGTCAGATTCCAAATAGTTTACGTTGTTTTGCCAGAACAACACCGATGACTCCACCAAGGATTTAACTATAATCCCGTACGTTATTGTTACCACTTCAGAGCTACACATACGCTACAAACGCACGCAAAAGGGATCGGCCCCCTCTGCCCTCCTCCATGTGGACAACACGCCTCTGCAGCTGATCTCTGAAATTGAGTCTGATGTTAAATTCAATAATCCGCTGTCTCTGGTTTAGACATTAGCCAGATAAATAGGCCCACAGCAGCAGTCAGCAGCTGATTCAATGTCCAGATGGCCCAAAAAGTCAACGGTGGTCTGTGCTTTGCATTTCATTTAACTCTCCCGCTCCCGCTTATTGTTTGTTATCTAAATATTGCTCCCGGCTCAATGGCCTTCCGTCGCCTTCCTTTTTATACCTCGCACCTTCCGTGTCTACTTAACTCCCTCCCGTCATCTTCCTTAGCAACTAAAGCCCGTTTCCCCGCATCCACAGGAATGCTTTCAGGCACAGAAAGCATTGTTCGATCTGCAGAGCTGGTAATTGAGAGAGGCTTAAGACTCCATAAATCTAAATCCACCAGCCGGCCCATTAACGTACTATAAAAAGACATTCCCGGCCGGACCAACGGAAGCGGCGCCGAGGGCTCCGGGCTCCGGAAAGAGGTGAAACCGGGTTCATGTTACGCACCGGGGCGAAGCCAGTGACCCGGATCCTTGGCCCAACGTGATTATTTTACGGTGACTGGTTTACGGGATTGAATCCAATCGCACACAAATAGATTTCTGCGTTGCTCTGGTTATGATGAAATTAAAAAAAAAACTACCTCGAGTCATGAGGCGGCCACATGACGAGTGAGACAACACATGGTTCCAGTTAAAGAACGGAGGTGATGTGTCTCCAACCTTCTCCTGCTGGAGATTATGTGGACATCTTCACTCTGGGTTCTGGTTCTACACCTGGAGCCAAACTACGCTGAACATGAAGGACAAGGACACGTACAAGATGGACCCTCTTCCCCTCCTCCCTGCCTTCGTCTCCTTTTCTCCTCCTCTTATATTTTGCTGTCCTCTTCATTTTTTTAATTTATTCCACTTTCTCTTTCCTTCGCCTCCTCCTCTTTACGACACTTCCTCTATTCAACAGACTCCCTCCCCCTTCTGCCCAGTTTAACTCTCGACATCCTCTTTACATTGAAACGCTCCTCTGCGGATCCTCCTCCCTTTCCTTCTGCTGCTTAAGGAGAAGGTCCAACGCGCTCCTCCTCGGTGCAGATTCACAGGCCCGTGATGAATGTGCTGTGGCCCGTTGTCAGTCAGCCAAGCCACAGGCTGCACTGGCAGAAAGCAGTAATCCAATTCCAATGAAGACAAACCAAGGTCTTTCCTATGTCCACATGCCCTAAGCCCCGCCCCGTTTCCTACCTCCTCGGAATTTAATCCTAAAACTAGACAGCTAGAGGATTCTTTTTGGATGTGCATAGAACACTGAGGTATTGGCACAATCCTTAAAGAGAGAAAGCAAAGGTGTTACAAAGGGTTCTGGGTTTCACGCTGGTACGTACGTTTGGACAGGAGGAACATCGCTGGGTGACACATTCACACAATTCTGATGTCATCGTTACGCGCTGGAGCAATACAGCAAACTCGGTTATCAACAACCTGACCAAAAAAGGGCCATGAAACGCATGCGCAGATGATTCAATCCCCACAACAGCGATGAGTCCTGTTAATTGTCCTTGAGACACCGCAGCTGCTCCATCAGTGGACGCACGCACGCTCTCGACAGACATTACCGTATTACCAAGAATGTTAATGTTAATGAGAATAATTAGCTGCTTGCCACCAGATGGGATGAAAACGACATTGCAAAACGTTATTAGGAGGAGTCGAAATCATCTGGAAGGCCACAATGTGTAGAATGTTGAGAATCTCACTATGAAAAAACCCTTCGTCTACACGTCTACACACCCCGGAGCACCAGGAGCCACGCGCGTAATAACGCATCCATTCATTTACATTTTGCATCCTAAGTAAATGTCAAGGTGAAACTCACTCCCACACTGTTAAGACAGGTGCACAAAACAAAGTATGAGGAGTGAGTACGAGTTCCACGCTGCCAAATGAACACAGAAGGTATATTTGAAAGTGTCGGCGTGCACACTGAAGTCGCTGTTGTTCCATTTAACGGCTACTTTGAATGTCACAACATTAACTGTTTGCTAGCAGTAGTGGTAGTAGTACAACATGCTAAAGTACTTCCATTTGTCCTATAGTGACATGGTATTGGTGCACACTAATGTTATGTATTTATCGCTGCAGTTTAGTACGAAAATAGAAAATTTGCAGTAGCTCAACTCGACTTCGCCTCCCGGTGCCACTCATGTGAGCGCGATGACAGACTCCTGGGTCAAAATGCGAGCTCTTAACGGTGGTCTCTATGAAAGCGGCCACCCGTGACCTCCACTGCCCAGCAGGTGGCGCTGACCTCACCGACAACACATTAGTCAACGTGGCCGGCGGGGAAAAACGCATGTGCCTGTCAACACGCCGGCTTTTGTCCGTTGCTCAGTGACGTCTTAGTTTTCGGCACGCAGCAGCCGTCAGCGCTGGAAAAGTGAAAATGATTTACAAGAGGCAACAGAGCAGGTCGACGCGTCTTCAGAGCAACCGTACAGCCTCAGCTGTTTGGAGCCCGAGCTGCAAACTCAGCTTTAAAAAAAAAAAGAAAGCGTCTCACGAAGTGTATTTCTGCAAGAATAACCAGAGTGAATAAGCAGGAGATTGTGCAACAGTGTGAAATCATCTCTATTATAGGGTGTAATGAATGCTCATTACCGGCAGCCTGCCTGGGAGGAGGGGGAGGGGGCGGGGAACTACGACAGGTGTATTCCCACTGTGTGTTTGCCCACGCGCGGTACTTACTCCTTGGGTGGGTTGAGGTCATCAGGTCTGGTCTCAAAAAACACTCGGACTTCCTCACACTGGGAAATGTAGACTGGCAGCTGAATGAGGGCCTGCAGGCACAAAAGATAACAGGAAACTTTGGTAATCCCATTAACTGGCCCGTAAAAATCTTACATACTGTGAAGTCTTCACTGAGTTGCACAATGAACGCTGTTCCTCTACTTCTGAAATGTGAATCGGACTCATTTCTTCTTCTTAGAATAATACACTTATTGGATCGCGCCGCCTGTGCAGACACATGTTCCCTCGGGTTTTTCATGTCGTTATAATGTCCACACTGATCTCTCCCACACTCTTCCAACCGAGCCACTAAAGGGCGGCAGTGACACAGATAATCACCTCAACAGCTTGATGCCCCGAACCGGAAGACAGAATAACTGCCACCAACACCCCCGAGTTGATTCTCTCTCTCCCGCTCCTTTTCTTCGCTGGCAGGTAAAGCTCGACGCTATTCATCACGCTTCCTCTTCGGGCCTTTACCTCTGATTTTAATACTGCTAAGTGTTTCGGTTCTGTCCTTTAAGGGAGCCCAGTCTTTGTCGAACACGGGCTGATAGAACGTCCGGGCTGACAGATATGGAGGGGAAGCCAAAAAAAAAAAAAAAAAAAAACCCAACCAAGGTGCCCTTGTCCCATGTGCCACATTTGCCTTATTGCCACAGATCGCTGCCAGCAGCTCCCTCTGAAGGAAAAGAGCCGGACCACCGCCGAGGGCCGAGTAGAACGTGTGCTTTCCATTAGCATGCTGATGCCTTGATATGCAACAACACGACCCCCAAAAGCCCCCCCCTGCAGTGGCTTCACCCATGCCCGGAGACCGTGGTCGCCCAGCAGCTGATTTAGGAGGCGTGCCGCCCACAACGCCGCCCTGCTCCCGGAGGTGAACGCGCATCCCGGGGCAGCCGGCTCTCCTTGGATTTATTCCTCTCCTCGTGTTAGCCTGTGGCCCGGCCGCTCATTACAATTCTCCCCAGGGAGGAGACTGGGGGGTGCGGGGTACATTACAGCAAATGGACTTTATGGGTGTTCTTTACCGCGGGCAGCATTAAGGTAATTGTGTGTGTGTGTGTGTGTGTGTTCTCTCTAAGGAAAAGTAGTAAATGGAAATGAGATCTACTTATTCCCTCCGATATGGTTCAGTACAGGGTGACTGTATTCTTGCACAATAACTATGTGCAAAAAAGGGGGAATCATGTGGACAAACCAACTGAGGAGGTTTATGATATTGGATGAAAAAAAAAAACAGTGAAAAATTAGTCTGTTTATTTCACCGTAGGAATGAAAAAGGCAAAAAGGCAAATGACTTGAGATACTTCATTTGGTACATCAAACTGTGACTTTCCAGTCATCCTAGCTCAGCAGTCTTAGTCTTTGTTTATGCACACGATCCCTGACTCCGGTTTTATCCCCCCCTCCTCCCCCCTTCTTCTCTTCTCTGAACACGTTTCCTGACTCGAATAAAAACACAGGACTTTACAACCAGGGAAATTCCGTATGACTCAGGATGAAGCCTCAGCTGCACAACAAAAGGGCTGACTCAAGAAAATCCCGAGGTTTCACCTTTTTAAAACATGCTGCATGTGAGGGTGGACGAAAAAGCATCTGCGTATAAATAAAGCTCACATTGGTTTCAGGGTCATTTGTATCAACGTCACTCCGCGGAAATTGATGACAGACGTCAATCAACCAGCACCTAACTCCCAAAATGAACCATCGTGAACAAGTAAATGTAATCTTTAAAACGGTGACTGCAGGAACCCCACCTGATGGTGTCTAAGCTTGTTCACATTAACATCCACACCCGTTGAAAACAAAAAGGTACAACGCTTATTTTCCCCATAAGTGTTTAAAGATGTTAAACCTACACCAGCTGTACATTCCTTTAACCCCAGGCGACACTTGGTGGAGTCGAGCTGCACGGCTCTCCCAAAGCCTTAAAGATTGATTTTAATACACATTTTACCTACTTTGAAGTAAATTCGAGGGCACAAAACTGCTTTTGTAAATAGTCTTTTTTGCTCAGAAGCTGAACATCAATCATATTCTATTCATTAAGGCTCCTTTGGTTACATTTCTGTCAGAATGCGGCAATTAGCGGTTTTATGGTCGCAAATCTGCCACAGTGGAGCCTGAAAATGTGCTTAAATGTTTTCTCTCAGTGATTCGTCTTTTTGGTGAAAAGCCGTGTAACGGGCCGCATGATGCGGGTTTCACGTTATCTCCGTTTTAACTGCTGCAGTGTTTTTAAACACCACTAATTAATTACGACACAGCTCTGTGCTCTATAAAATGTCAGCATGTTTACTGTACCTCCGAGAGGTATTATTAAAGTACATTTAATTTGCATTTTGTTACAAGGAAACCTGATAAATCCATTCGGACAATCTCTCCTTTAGTGTGGCCACGAGCTTAGATCTGATGAATATGAGCACATATTTGAATTGGAATGTCTGAGGGGTTAAGCTGAGGGTTTGTGATTTTCGCAGATGTACTGAAGAGAAACCGCTCATACACACACACACACACACACACACAGGGGGCATGAACGTGGCGTTTTTTTTCCTGTACTTGACCAAGTTGACACGACGTGGGCAGGACGGTTATTTTTATTTACCTTGGTTTTAGTACTTTGTACTAAAAGACGATGCAAATGCTTCATAAACCGTCCATGTACCCACCCTGCAGTACTCGTTGATGGGCCTCAGCCTTTTCATGGCCACATCTCTGATATGGCTCCTCCTAAACAAGATCTTCCCTGTAACACAGCGGGAAAAAAAAAAAGAACGATTTAGAATGAAAAGAATAATGGTATCATCTGATACTAGTGTTGCACCCAGTATTCCACAGCATACAAATATAATATATTCTAATCATCAGTCATCGCATACAATAAACAATGTTTTGGATGCCACATTGAAGCCACATTGAAAAAGAGTCCTCAGAGGGACAATAAGGACGCAGTGGCTTCTACCAAACGTAGCTAATGAATTAGCATGCAGACACATTATAGTCGGGTCATCAATATCAGCGACAGCACAATGAGGTGGGAAAGGAGCGAAGGGGAATGGCCGGCCTTTCCAAGTCACGAATAAATGATTTTGGGAAAGCACATTATGTGTCCATGACGGCTTGAATGCGAATGTCCTGCTCCGATCTTGGAGGGTGAAACAACAACAACAACAACAGGCACAGACATGGTGGGTGGCCAAAAACAAGAACTAGAAGTGGATAGAAACAGGCCGTTTAAAACTCAATGGCATGTTGGGAATTTGAGAGCCAGCATTTATTTTCTCCTGGTTTTGGCCACTGAAGTTTTGCCAGGTTACGCGAACACATGAACCTGCCGGGGAGTCGAGACCCCCGAACACAAAACGTTTCACCGCCTTCAAAAAGGGTTATGGGATTTGTTGAGAGAATATTTAGAGCGGGAATGCTGAAGGATGAATCTGTGTCACAGGACAAAAACAAAGTAAAAAAAATAATATAGGAAATCCCATTCAAACACTAATAATGTGTCGAGTGTAGCTTACTGCAATGTGTAATGTGCGGTCCACCTGGTGGATCAGGGCATCCGTTTGCTATAAATGGGTCTATTTGGAGAGGATACTCGGATAGTCAAACTAGTGGATGTTCTTGTGGCTTATGAGATTTTTTGCCAGAACAAATCTGAACAGCATTTGAGTTGTTTTTTTGCAGAGTCACCAACTTACGCGGCTTACGTGACTTTAGACCACCAGGGTGACCATTTCGTATTCAAACAGTTATTAAAATAGGTACACCATGTCTATCGGGTCAAAATGTCCACCTGTACAGCAAACTATGTCAACTGTCTTTACTTGGATTGGCATGTGGCTTACAGGTATTAATGATTTGCTTGTGTATCATATTGGCCCGGCCCTTTCACACAAATCTTGACCATTATTGGATGGACTGCTCACACACGCTTTACTCTGAAACCATCCAAAAACATTAAACCTGAACTCTTTATCCACATAATGACGCGAGCATTACAGCCTGTTTATATTTTGTGAAATCTGTTTATGAATTTATATTCCATTAACCAAGAAATCACAACAGAAATCACCTTCGGACACACACACACACACACACACCTGAGAGACATTGGAAAGTCACCTACAGTACTTCAACCCCCCCCCCCCCCCCCCCCTTTCTCATAGCCTCAAACAAAAAGCTTTCTTGACCGTTTTCCAGAGCGCTCGGGGGTCAGCAGAGAAGCACTGACTCAACACTGCCCACTCTGTATGCGGGGCGGCTCCTGGTTGCAGCCGGGGAAAAAAAAAAAAGGCTTGTTTGGGGACGAAGGAAGGGAGGAGGGGGCGGGGGAGGACGGGGGGCGGTGGGGGAGGGAGGACTGCGGTCTCGGAGCCCGTGGCCGAGGCAGTGTGGACTTTACGGCCGGTCTCATAGCGCGACCAAGAGTATCGGACTACTTTGTTTTTCTTAAGGAGAGCGAGGGAGTTAAAAAGGAGAGGAGACAAGGGAACACAGAGAGGGTTTTAGTTACACACTTTACGCACGGAAGGCACCCGTGGCTTGGACCATCAGATGACTCCTACAAAAGTGAGGACTACTATTTTCTGGGTCTTGACTGCTGTGACCATCGACTCCTCGGTTTGATGTTTAAAAGGAGAAAATCAATTGGCTTCATGGTGAAAAATATGGGAATAATATAAACGCCTATAAGCATTTGTAGCACTTTGGACAACCCTGTGAGTGGAAATACTTGCCATCACAAACATTACACACGACCTCATTATTGCAAACTGCCCTTAAAAAGACTCGACGTGGAGTCAATTGCAAAGTCTTGCAAAGTCGGAGCAAAAGGCCAAGACGGGAGACTTGCTGTCATGAAACTTCACTTCGACTATCAATTATCTTGAATGAAACTTGACTTGGCTTTTGAAGGATAAGCCCTCTTTTTTTGTTTTAATGACCGTTGTGCGTTTAGGCGAGTTGCCGTCTGAGGGCAGAGAGACGCAACTCCACAAGCCCGCTGCTGGTACGCCGCGTTGGAGCCGGCGAGCGCGACGAGCGCTTTTCCCCCGCCGACGGAGAGATGAGCGGGACACGGATGAGTCATAAGCGACGCCGTCGGTGTTAAGCGTTCGTTTGTTTTCTGCTTCAAAAAAGGGAAGAAAAAAAACAAACGTGTGGAGCTTTCAGAGAAGGCCCGACTGCAGAGTGCGTGGTTCTGACCAGCGGTGATGCGTTTGACCCGACCGGCATACCGTCCCGCCTACTGTGGCAGGCGGGGAGAGGCCCGAGCCAAGGAAAGAGCTGGAAAAGGAGCTTACAGTAGATGTAATATTCTGAGGGAAACATTTCCTTAACAAGCGCAGCTTTGGATCCTTGGTATCTTCTTCTTCTTCTTCTTCTTCTTCTTCTTCACAGGCCGACCTGCTGGTGCTGTGCTACAGAGCGCTGCTCGAGCCTCTGGGGCGAACGTCACATTCAGCACTTTTATCTAAATGTCACGTATGAACCCATCAAAAAGGAATCGAGCAACGTGAGAGATTGTGGGGATGAAAAACGGCATATGGATATAAAAAAAAAAACAGTTTGGGTTTAAAATGTCCTGGTTTGAGATTCTTTTAACATTTTTTTTAGGACACTCATGTAGTTGTGTAGCGAGCAAAATGCAGCAGGCGAGCTTGTGACGTGCTCACCAGGCAAAAAGGGGCCGCAGAAACTCCAACGCAGACAAGCCACATTGCTGATGTGGAGTAACCAAAGAAGGGGGGAAAAAGGCCCTGAACAGACCAAACAGTGAAAGGAAAACCACTTGCTGGGTTCGTCTCAGTCAACGGGCCAGACTTCTACTTTGTCCCTAAACGATGTTTTCTACGCGCTCGCTGCTGCTGCCCTTGAGAGTGAAAGGGGCGGGGCCAGTCGCCATGGTATCTCTACATCTAATTGGTTACAAACCCCGTCTTTGGATTGGCTGGAGTGATGCAGTCACACAACTATAGAGGCCCAGTTCCGCACTAAAGAAAGTGGATTGAAAGTCGAAATTATGAGATGTCAAAACACAAACGACACCTCTTTGTAACCGTAGATGACAACCAGCTACAACCGTCGTTTACCAGCATTGCCGGCACATTGAGACCGATGCCGCCATACTATTCTCTGAATGAGATCCAGACCTGCGATGCCAGAAAATAAAGTCCTGCCTCCCCCCCCGGTAGGGTAGGTGTGGCTGGGGTCGGGTGAGGCTTTCTCCCAAACTCCCCCTGAGGGATTGCTTTCAGCGGGGCCGTTAACCCTTTCAATAAGCCAGTGATGCACAAAGCCCTCGTCCCAAACAAGCTTTGTTGCCACTTGTCCGTGTAAGAGAGAGATGGAAACTAAAAAGGAGAAACTATTGTTTTGGCCCGTCGGGTTTTTACGCAAAATGATGATTCAGCAGAGACAAAAGTGCAGCTGAGCCAAGAAAACAGCCCGTAATGAATGTGGTGAATTGGCTCCATTTGCTTTTAGTATTCTTTTGTGAAATTCAAAAAACGTTTAATGTTTCACCCAAAGGCTCCAACAAAACTCCACATAATTGCATACAGGCTTTTTGCCTGAGCGATTAAAAGGGCAGATGCAGAATCATACATTTCTTCATCTCTTCTTGACGGTTGCAGCGGTTTGTTCGGGTTGAACATAGTTTGCTTCTCTACGTTTATTCTCAGAATGTGAGTTAGTGTCCAGAATGAGTGATATGAATGAGAGATTTGCTGTGTGCATGTTTTCATCATAGATACCACAAACAATTGAATTTAACTATTCTAGATAAATGGGTTCATCTTTTAATCTTTGTCCAACCTATTTAGTATAAACAGGAGAAAGCACCAAACCCCGTCAAATTTCATTTTTTACTTTAAACTACTTAATGTAACATGAAAATGATCCATCCTCTGTTTGCTCGCCAGTCGTGTGCATGTTCTGCGTGTGTGTGTTGAAGGGGCCTTGGAGGACACTGTCCTTACCTGGTAGGAAAGGAATGATCCTACGCTTAGGGTCCTTCTGGCCTCCTTCCACGGGGAATTTGTCCAGCAATTCCATCTGTAAAACGACAATAAATGAAGACTTGTTTGTAGACAAAGCATTTACGCCCACACGTTTAAGTAAACACGGCCTTTACATTACACACCGCGGGACGGCTGAGACCGGAGAGGAAGGGTTCACGATTTTTTTTACAAATCAGCAGTTCCTACGAGGAATTCGGGCCAATAAAAGGAAGGTCTGCCAATGATTAGGAATGTCCTGAGCAGATGGTATGGTTTTCCCCTTTCGCTGCATATGTTGTTGCAGCAAAAAGGGGCTGTTAGTCTGCAAGGCACCACTGACACAGTGGAACATTTCGGTTTCGAGCGTTTCCAAGGCCGGAGAGCGGCGGCTACTCCGATCTGCCCCTTCCCTCGATCGTTCTTTTCCACCTCTTTAAAAGACTCCGTCTTTCTGAGTCATATAGTTGCATACGACTGCTACAACAGGACCACGACATTAAGTGCATTTCTGAACAGGGTCTGTTCAATGTCAGCCTGATAAAATCGAGTCTGTCACGGCCGCGCTGCACAGAGACACGCAGCGGTCACAACAAACGTCTGAGCCAGGGAGGATTTTCATCGCCCCCCCCCCTGCTGAGAAATGTAGCTGTACCTTGACTGGTATGAAGGAGTCATTTCTGGAATATGCAGAACATGCAATAACCGACAAGAATGTTCTGCCGTCGGCGCTTCGCTATGTTTATTCCCAGTGATTAGATTGGATTTGAGATCTCAGAAGGATTTTTCCTCAGATTGTCCTTTATGGGCTCGGATGTTGTAACATTGGTTTGGTTGTTCATTAAAGCTCATGCCGGGATTTCTGTGATTCAGCTTATCTGACGTCTCTGATGTTTATTTCCTGGCGTAATCGCGTGGTTGCTATGGCAACTTGTCTAGCAACATCAATGAGTAGAGCTCGTCCTTGGACAAGACTGCAAAAGTGCAGTTACTTCCCCCGTGTTACACAGACGACGGTGAGAAGAACGGCGGCAGTCCGGTGGCTCAGTCCACTTTATAGTCTTTAATCTTGTTTGTTCTAAAAGATACAAAAGGAGGGAAAACTCCCGAATCTACTTGGTTTATCAGTCAGATACTTCAGAATGACACAGTACACAGACAGGCAGACGCAGGCAGGGAGACAGACACAAAGCAGCCAGTGCCCCACACGCTGTAATTGTTCCCATGTGTGAGCCGGGCCGAGTGCAGAGGAGACACACCCGAGTCTCCGTGTCTACTCTTAACCCGTGTATCTGCGCTGTAATCAGAGACACACAAACAAGAAAAGGCCTCTGGAGAAAGTATAGACGTCTCTTGAAAACACCAGTTACATCACGAAAACCAAAATTTAAATATTCGTAATCCACAGGCAGCAGGATGACAGTCGAGAGGTGGAAAACAAGTATGTTATTGGAAATGACTGTGAATCAATCTAAATAGGCAAGACTATTATTACTGTAGTAGAAATAGGCCAAAAAATAATAATTTCAAAACTCATCAGTTCCATACTAATTTATATATATACTTAAGTTCAAACCCTGAAATGTAGACATTATTTTTCTTTCCAAGTTAATATAATTTTACTACAACTCTTAACTGCGACGTGTCCGTTCACGCACTTCATTCACCGACTACAGTTCAAATAAATCTTTCCAGGTCAAAATGTCACGTCACTATTTTGTTAATATGCCCAATAATGTGCCGCACACTGTTGTGTACCGTATCTCCTGAGGGTGATTTGATTTGTCTAGTCCACATCCGCTTCAACCACACCGTCCGCCTGCAGATAATGGCTCCGTACAGGAAACATCGGAGACGGACAGGACCTTTTTTTTTTCAGAATAAGAATGCCAGAGAACAATAGTTTCTCTCTTTGCAACTTGCTCGGTGGTCCTCTGATTCTTTTACTTGGGCCGCTGGTCTTAGGTAGTGAGAATAAGGACATTTTCCGTGTCATCCCCAGGCAGGTTTGGGTAATGATGGATGGCTGAGCGAAAATAACTATCGGTTTAACTTCAATAGGAACAAAACAGGTCTCATCTCACTCCGCTGCCGCCACACTGCTTATTGTAGCCACTTCCAACCCCAGAAGTCATAATCAAACACATATGGAGGAGCGAGTTAAAGCAAACCAGTGTTCCACGGTGAACTCTGGCCTTTCACTTCACTGAAATATGAAGAATAGTTGCAGAAACAGTTTCGTCTTCATCTGCAGAACCAAATGCGATTCCAGTGCAATAAAACGTTGACACAATTCATATCATCTGATTGATTTTCTTTCACAATATTTCAGTCCACACCAACTAGATCCCCAAAACAAATATTATTAATAGGACTTCAGTAAGGTGTGCCTATCTTTCAGTATTCCCTTAGTAAAGGTTTTTACTAAAAACACATGTTGTGTATCGTTGTTCGCGGAACAAAAAGGACACAGCTTAAGGATGCACATTTCATTCTGAAATTGGCAGATAATTACTGCGTGAAAGAAGGAAATGAGTAGATTGTCGCCTCTTGGTGGAATGTGCACAACAGGCAACCCCTTTAAAAAATGCTGTGACTTAATTCTGTGGATGGAAAATATGTGACAGCTGTGCAGCTGCGAATAAGCCAAGTCAAAAAAAAAAGAAAAGAAAGTATATTCTGTTTCCAAAAGACACGAGGATGCTGGAATACTTTGTCTGGGAAGCCGAGTGAACACGTGTGCAGCACGGAAACTGTTCTAAGCGCCATGGAAATACGAGATCACTATTTTTGGTAAAAATGTAACACTAGAACGGAGGGCGGAAAGCACAGGTTCCGCACCAAAATGACGTTTGCACAGTTTGCTCTCTTAACGAATCACATCCTCGATCGCTGCGCCCTTCGCTTGTGGACGCTTAGCTCCCTGGTGCTATTTACGAGGAGCTACATAGAGCCTGTTGCGTGAGCTTCCAGGGGGGAAAAAAGCTGATGACCAGGAGCAAAAAGCTCTCGAGCAAGATGGCGGACAACCCTCAGGGCTGAAGAAATCCCATTGAAGTCACCGGGAGAACAAACAGTCTGCGGTTTGTGCTCCACAAATATCATCCGCCTCCCCGGATGCTGAGTTCAGCTGTGTTTGACGGGATGTGGTGACTAACACTTCCTGTCGAGCTCTGGAGCTTTTTGGTGTGACCACTTTGTGTCCTTTTCTCGTATTTCATATAAGCGGCTCCTGGGTCGACAGAAAAGAGAGAATAAGGCAAAAAGCAAAGGAGGATCCAACGCAGCGTAAAACGTTACCGACTGAGCTGCAGGATCGAGTCCTACAGCTGGAAACCTGAGACGCCGAGCGATGAGGTCACGCCAAAAGGCGTATTCCGCATTAGAGCGACCCGAGTAGCGGGGGTCAAAGCGCCACAATAGCTCAAACAAAGCTGTTTTTTTTTTTTTTAAATCACATAATCGCCAGGCGCCGCTTTTCTGTAAGAAACGCCAAAGCCTTTAAAGTGGCTTCTCGCACGCGAATGCCAAATCTAACACAAGATAAGAGATCGGCTGTGTATCTGTCAACCCCCCCCCCCTCGCCCGCCCCCCCACACCAGGCTGTCAACACAGCAGGAAGCAGCTGCATGGGATGGAAGGGCAAAGACCAGCGGGGAATCCCCCTGCTGCAAATATCCAGCACATGCTCATCTAGTTCGCTGCCATCGATCTGACGCCGAAGGCCTCCAGCGACGTCACAAAGTACGCACAGACATTTCATTCAGAGACATTCGCTCTTCATCCGCTGCGAAGATGTCGAGCTTTGAAAAGTCACTTAAACTCTTTTTTTTTCATTTCTGGAGACAGAATTACTTGAAGGTTTCCCATTCTCTCTTTTTTTGAGGGGAATTGGGAATATTTCACCGGGCTTATTCAAATTGCTTTTCATGACTTAAAGACCCTTTAAAATAGTACCAGTTGAGAGCAAACAGCCTCTTCTTTAAGCCAGAATGTGTTGACTCCACAGCAGAGATCCGTGTCCATAACTACACGCATCGTAATAGTTTCCATTCTTCTAGTCAACACGACGCTCTGCGGCCACAGAAGAAACATGGCGGAACATTATAATTCTCTATTTCATTGCCCATCCCAATCAATTAAAAGGAATTTAATTCAATTAGGGTCGACTGTGGGCTGCGCCTGAATTGACTACGTGCTCATTAAAAGCGGGTCGTCCTTCTGGGCTTCCTGGAGTCGATGCTCTGCGAGCAGAGAGGCGGCCAAGGCCTCAGATCCATCACCTTCCAAAGAGGGACGGAAACTAGAAGAATACCAATGAGCTTCCCTCCCCGCTGCCAGCGTGACGCGCGGGAATGATTCAGAGGAGCAGCGGGTCCTCGCGCTCATCGCCGTCCGCCATTGACTTTGTTTGGGACATTTTCCAACTGCGTGCTCTCTATTACCCCTTTTCCGCCAACAAGAACCAGGTGCTGGTTCGGAGCCAGAGCTAGAGCCGGTTCGGAGTCGGTTCAACTGACGAGCCTCCAAAGAACCGGTTTGCTTTTCCACAGGCTAAAGAGCCAGCGCAGAGCCAAGTCCTACGTCACAGTTACGTCTCATCTTTCCCAGCAACGTTAGCGCGGCGGCGCCAAACACGAAAACATCATCAACAATGGCGGACGTTGCTTTGCTACTGATGTTCATGGCTTTGCGGACCTACATCGACATCCAAACACGTCGGATCAAACACGTTCGCGCGGCTCGCCTTTTAGCCTAGTAGCGTCCATTGTGTTGTTGTTAGCTCAATTAGCTGCTATCGAAGAATGGCGGATCACAAAGTTTCTCTTGTCTTGTTGGTCACGGTAACCCCGCCCCCAGCCGCTGACGTAAGCGGTTCTTACTTCTAGACCAGCAATGATATGGTGCTACTTAAGACCCACTTTCACTGGTTCGGAGCTGGTGCTTTGGTGGTGGAAAACCAAAGAACCGATTTGAAACTATAGGCTCTGGCTCAGAACTAGCACCAGTTCTGCCTTGGTGGAAAAGGGGCATATGAGAGTCTTCACTAGTGGAAAGGTTAGAACTTGCGACCGCACAACCTGCTGTGGTATAAAAACAAGATATTAAAAAAAAAAAAACAACAACTAGTAAAGCATTCGCACACACATACCTGCAGGTCAAAGAACTTGCTGTAGCGCCTGTAAATGATCTCCGTACTTCCATCGCTCCAGGAGACTTTGATGATGTAAACCTGCGGTGACAAAAAGAACAAAAATCAGTTTAGACAAACAAAGGTCCAATGCAGTGAACCACTTGCTAAGCGCTCCTGAGTCACGGTGCCAGGAAGCGGCGGTGACTCCTGTAGGAAGGGGGGGGGGCGTCATCCGGGACGCAATGCCGTCATCATCATCCTTACAACGCAACGGGGATTTACGATTCTTTCATTTCCCCAATAATTTGCGTCACTTCCTGCCGAAGAGGAAGTCGATCGCCTGCAGCAGCAACGGAGACGTTGTTGCAGGAGTTCGATATGAAATAACGTCACAACATTATATATATATATATATATTATATATGTAAGCTATGAGAAGAGGGGAGGGGCAGGCAGTTGATGGGAATCTGGCCCGGCGTGTCTGGCTGAATGCCGTTGGCCTCCCTCCCAGACCTTCTCTGGCCTCCCTCCCTCTTTTGGGGCAGTGAAGTGAGATAAGGCCACGGATGGACCAACTACAGGAGCCACAGAGACAAGCAGGGGGGGGTTTGTCTTCATCAAATACAAACAGTTTTGTGTCAGTGTGTTAAAACCTTAACCAATAACATGGGCTTTTAGTGTGTTGCCGCTGGTCTGTTTGGTTCATTGAAACAAGAATTCTGGCAATTAAATGCTTTCATATTGTCTTTGGAATGGGATTTTTTTTCCTTCTTTTTCTTGCACGAGAGGAGCTGTTTTTTTTTGTACTATTACCTGCACCTCCAGGGTTCTGGAAGAATCGAGGTGTCCCGCCTGCACGTGCACAGCGAGCACCAGAGTCATGGACAGCGTGAGAGCAAACAGACAGGTGGACAAGACGCGGGACATCAATAACTCGGTGTCCTTGACCACTGACACTCCCCATGAGGCCTGTTGGTCCTTCAACCCGGGCATCATTTACACACACACACACACAAATGCAAACCGATGTAGACACACACACACACACACACACGTACACAGAACAAACACCAACACCTGCTGAGGCCTTGGCAGAGGCTCTCACCGCCGGCCTTCTGGACACGATGACATATGTGTTACTTTTAAACAGACAGCATTCACTGTGGCCGACGAATTCCCCCCCCAGGACGAGCAAAGCTCCTCTGCAGCAAAGAGAGCAATGGATCTTTGTCTTTCTCCGGATTCTTGTCTCCCACACAAGTTCAGAGCCGCAGTGGGGGATGAAAAACACATCCACACAATGGTTCTATTATTCCTCTTTCTCGTCCCCCCTGAAAGCGAATCACTTTTTACCGTCTCCGTCTACCCAACGCGACGCGGCTGCGGTTACTGTGTGGAAGTAGCGTGAACAAAACATTTCGTGTGGTGTCTTAAGATAATTAAGGTAACAAAAGTGAGAACGTGGCTCCTTTGATGAGCTTAGGAGCTCTGCTTCCTGGTTCCCGGCCTGAAGCGTGTGCTTTTTCGTACAGTAAATTGGGAGATTCTGGGGCATGAAAAGCTCAAAGTGCCTCATTTGAACTGATGGGGGGGGGGATTAATGCGGATGTGCTGCTGCCTGGACCGGTTTGCCCGTCGGCGTGTTTCGTGATGGCAGACGTGAGGCAGAAGGCCTTCGAGAAGCACTCTGGAGTCATTTTTGTTGCACGGCAGACTGTGGCAGAATGGGGACAATAGTGAATCCACACACACACACACACACACACACACACACACACACACACACACACACACGAAGGTATACTAGATGGAGGACAGTCGCTGGGACGTATAGAGACTCGGACCTGGTCAAAGGTCACGTGAGCCACATCCATTTGGGTGCTCCAATGACCTCATCCAAAACAACCAAAACAGATCTCTAAAAGTTGTGGGTTCGAATCTCAGACCCAAACAAATAATGAAGATAAAACATCCGACCGTGTTTCCTCCGGTTGGTCTCGGTAATCTGTAACTTGACACCCCTCTTTTGTTTTGACTTTTCCCGGACGGGGAAGAGACGCGAGTCGTAACAAACAAAGCCCGAGCGATAAGAAAAGTCGTCTTACGTAGTGTTTGTTGGGATTTCTCCGTTTCTGGACGTCTTGCACCAGGACTTCTTGCGCGGTGCGCCGCGGCATCGTGTCCTCTGCTTCCTCACGCCTCCGTTACACCGGGAAACAAAACGGATCCCCGGTTGGGGATCTCACGAGCGGTCGAAGCCCGGGTTTTTTTTTTTTTTGTTGGAAAGTTCGCACGGGGACGCTTCTTTTGTCATCCGGCGGGTCGCGATCTGTGACCTCCGGGCGCAAACTAACGCTTTGTTTTCTCTCCGCCGCGCGGAAGACACAAGTTAACAGGAGCTCGTCTGCCTCCGGCTCTTCTCGTGCCTCGTCCCGTCGCGCTGACCGAACTCCCAGCCTATCCCGGCCCGCCCACTCCCACCCAGCCGGTCCCTCCCTGCCTGCCTCCCCCCTCCTCCTCCTCCTCGCCCCGGGCCGCCGGGGCTCTCCGGAGTTCTCTTAAAGCTGCATCCACGGGGACGGAGACCCACGCGCACCGATGTGTCATTAATGCGTTTAAAGGAGGAGAAAATGGTTATTGAAAGTGTTGCGTCTCGCCCAAGTGGACTTCGGCACGATGGATTTTTGGAATTTTAATTGAATTTTGCTTTTAGTTATGTCAGTGAATCTGTTGCATTCTCTAAGAACACAGCGCCTTTTTGTCAGGTGACCCTTTGACCCCCCTCACTGAAACCCATTTCGTTTATGGATAGTAACTAATCAACAATTAATATCATTTTACATACCTCCACTCAAATACCAAAATGAGTCATTTGTTATTACAAAGTTGCCATTTCCCCCTCCCATTTAATATGTTATGAGTTATTTTGCATTTTAAAGTTTTAACTTTAACTGTGGTCTTCTGTAATATGATGCTTTCATATAATATACAGGCTTATGACCGAAGTTCACTTTTGTTGCTAACTAGCTCCATCTTGTGGCGTGTTTTACTCATTACATGCAGCAAATCATGGCGAGAATCGAATCTTGAACTTTTTCTGTTTTGACAGACATGTTGTGGTATTATGGGGCTCCCAATGATCACAACCTACATTTATTTTCCCACTGGATAATCAGAAATACAAACCGTTTGAATTAACAGCAGAAATGAACTTGATAGTAATTATTCGAAGGGACCTGTAGAGTTATTGATTGGTGTATGAGGCCATGTCTAGGAATGTCCCTTATGAAGCATAAGTCTAAACTTGTCATTCAGTGGAAAGATGCTAATAATACACAATTCTTTGAATGATGCAGGTAAATGGCTGTCATTAGAGGAAATCTGAGACATGGTTTTGAAATCCTGTCAACAGATGGATCAGATTGTTTAGCGTGGATGTATTTTATAAAAAGGATGAAACGTTAGGATTGGTAAATCATAGGCCATATTTTAAATAGGATAGAAGTGAACCTTTTCATTCATAAATACTCATTTTCAGGCCACAGAAAAGTTTAAAGCAACATTTACCGTCATAGGGATTACATCTGCAGGGCAGATGAAATGGTTTCATGAATGATGGAAGTCAGTAGTCACAATAAAGGGTTATCGGAATGATTTATGGCCGTATGAATTGTCATTAAGGTAAAGACTCGGACGCCATATGACAGGTGAAGGGTCGGCGCCGCCACATGTTTGCACCTCCAGGTGCGATGCGATGGCGGTGAAACGTTCCTGCAGCGGCACCAGACGCCCCAAAGCTTCTGTCTCCCTGAGTCCAGCGTAACGGGAAGGACGGACGTGGAAGATCTTTGCAATATTTTTTTTATTCATTTTTTTATTCTTTGCAATATTTTTTTTATTCAACTATTTAAGGTATCAATGACACTTTTGTGAGAGAAGGAAACGGTGACTCAATTCCACTCACTGATACCACCAAGGATGTTTTTCACTCATTTAAAACTCTGCCAGGTTGTTATCATGACGTTACCTTCACGCCTTAAAATTGTTAGAAATGACTTGAAAGAAGCTGTTTCTACCCTACAGGGAATGGAGTCGTATCTTCATTTCTATATTTATAGTCATAGACCTTTACCACACATATCTTTAAAGGCTGGTTTCTCTGATTATTTTCTCACCTGCCAGCAAGACATCTCTCCTTGAGTTCTACCGAGTTTCTTTCCTCTGTTATATTCCTCTATTCCCTTGTTACAAAGTTTCTGACAAGGAGTTTGCCCATATTTCATTTAAGACCCTAATTTAAGGAGCATTTTATTCCTAGATTTTTTATGGATGTTCTGGAAATGCATGTATGTGAGCACATATTCAACAAGATCATTCCTCACTTACATATATAAAGCAACTTTTTTTTTAATTAAAAAATATTTAGGGTAACCAATGTAAACCAATGGTGTTAAGATACTGTACGTAATAAATTGGGAGAATTTCATGGTTTTAACCCTATTTCCCTTGGCAGTCTCCTCTTTGAATTCCTGTATATAAATGATGTAGAATTGTAAAAATGTATATTACACCGGTGTCAATGAAGATGCTGTCAGGCCTCCAAAGAAACAGGACATGTGAAGACACCTTTTATTGCCCCTTTAAAATTCAACATCAACGTAGGCCTCCAGGTCTTCTCTAGACAGCAACAAGTTAGCTTCCAACGTAGAAACAAACAACCTCAAAGCCGGCTGGTCTATGACCCAACACCATCATTAAGAGCGCCGAGCTCCTAATGATCACCGTCTCAGCATTAATGCTGGAATCCCGGCGAGGTAATGCGTCCCTGTGATGTCTAATCATGTCTGTGTTTCACCCTGAGATGAAAGGAGCTGACGGCACATGTGTTCCGATAATGCACTTCAATCAGCGGCCGAGGCAGGATGAGGACTAATGATGTTTACTCATCACTCCAGTGCCTCATCAACTCCAAACACACACACACACACACATACTGTACATTGCAAAGGCGTATGTACCCGCGGACGCGCTGAAGCTCGGCTTTGTTCTGTGACGACGCCTCGGTGGGGGTCATTACTCAAAAACAGCCTTTGATGGGGTCTCACATGCGGCCGGTTCGTGGTGTTAGAGGCAACCAAGAGTTCAATGGAGCACCAACACCTCGACTAATCCCTATAAATCACTCCTTCTTTTCCTTCCCCACCGACAACTCCCTGAAGCCGTAATAACCTTAAACGCCACCTTTGCCCTGAAGCCGTGGCCGCGCACACCAGCAAACATTACGGGAGTTTCCTGGCAGGCTAATGATGCAAGATTACAGCAGCTTCGGAAGCTCTCTGTTTATTCATGAGCATTCATGTTGTTTGAAATACAAGTAGGAATTGAGAACGTCGCTTCCAGAGAACTGATCAGACCGGTGTTTTTTATCCCAGCTGGCACCAAGGATGGCCGTCGGCGGGTTGGTCCACCAATTGGATCCCAACTTAATTAACGCAACGACTGTAAGATGGATTGCAATGAAATTTGGCACAGATATCTTTATTGCCTACATGACCTTGATGATTACATGACTTTTCCTCTATTGTAATTGTAAACGGTGATTAATAATGGACAGAAGTGTCTTTCCCCCTGCTGCACTGTACTGTATTGACGTCTCGTCGTCGTCACCGCCGTTGAGAAATTTGACCTCATTGTACCGATTCCCAGCAAGCCTTCTCCGACTCACTGGACCCGCCAGAGAGCCTGAGAATGGAGCGTTGACAATACATGGTCATTACTCCCCTTATCGCTGCAAGAGGAGCGACAGAGATGGAATTTCAAAGATGGTAAAGCGCCTTTTTGTAATTAGTCACGTTTCAAGGAAAGGAATTCTAATGTCTCTCCGTCTACATAGTTCGTTAGTGAGACAGCTGGGAAAGTTAAGATACTTATTAATCTATTTTCTTTGTGACCCACATAACCAGGTTAATGGTGAGACACGTCACAAGCTGCGCCATGAACAGTTAGATGCAAGATGCGACAGCAGAAATGCTGCATTGTAAACTCCCGTGTGGCAGCTTGGGTCATTTTTTACAGGCTTTAACAGTCAAATCCGGAAGAATCGCCGGTTGGATCCGAACGTTCCTCAGCCGGGCGTTTCAAATGACCTCACTCTGTTGTTATGGTGACCACCGTACGCTCCAGGCTGCAACCACAGCGTCACGTGATAGAAAGTCATGTTTTTGTCTGAGATGTGTCTTTCCAGAATGCAGCAGCAACTTGTTGGTGCATTTCGTTCCAAAACCCCAAAAAGTATGAAAATTGCACCAAAAATGTGTTTGCAATCATGTGTGGTTGAGTCATTATAGATTATAAACGCCTCGTTTTGGCCCCTGAACTCTTGTTTTTTAGGTACAGGCCCCCGGCAGACGTTACGGTCAGGCTGGAAGAGTCTGCGGTCACCTCTTGGTCTGAGATAACGTCACTGTTTGTACTCAAAATATCAACCGACACTTCAGGTTTCATTTGCCTGAATCGTTCTGCATCATGCAGAGATATTCAGCGTAGCCGAGGAAGCATAATAGGGCGGACAAAATGATATAAAAACGTGATACAATTCAGCCGTAAACAAACTGTGGCCGTTGGAATGACTGTACAGTCAGATACGACCTTCATGAAGGTTGGACCTGGAGTGTTTGTTTCTATTATACAGAGATGCCGTATATATCTACCATACTCATCATTTATATCCCTCACAATCATACATTCAGGTCAAAGGATTGTGTAGGTGGGTTGGAGTTAAGCGGACTAATTTCAGGGCTCAATAAACAATTACGCGAATTGAATTTGATAAAGAATAAACTAGGAATAAAAAGGTCCTCACGCTGAAGCATGTTTGAGACAATTATGCAGATATCAATCAAATTCCATGAAACTGCGTGATAAAAAGAAGGTGAAAGAAATGGTCTCACCGTAAACAACTGATGGATGATTAGGGGAAAACTTCACGGATCATTTCTGTGGAATTTCTTTGTCAGAGCCGGTAATCCAGTACATTGTCTTTCATTTTAAACAACGTCCCACCGCCTGGCCCACTGCTGGTCCATGTAGACGGGCCGAGCCATTGTTCGGTTATTCTATGACTTTTTCAAATTGACACAAGACTAATTATGCGGCCCAGCCGTGAGTCTCTGATCTTCATTAGCTCCATTGACCTCAAAAGGCAGAGACAATATTTCAATCACGCACAAACACACGCTGGGCTCAGTGATTGAAAGAAGCCGCTTATCGCCAGAAGGCCTGAATGACTGGGAGAAAAGTTGGGGGGGGGCGGAACGCGTGGCTTTGGCATAGAAAAGCGATTTTCCTCAGTATGAGAGCTAAAATTAGAAAAGAACCAGTGTGCCTCTTTCCTTAGCTTGAATACAGTGGCGAAGGGATTTACTGGTGTTTGCTAAGTGGTTGTTAGGTTGTTGCTGCC